CCTAACTTCAGATGCTTAGATCCCATTTTGAAAATAAAAACATGGCCAACACAGTAAGCCTCTTCTACAAACCAGTACTCCTATAGTAATGCCCCTGAGAAAGTAACTTAGATGATTTTCAAGACATTAATTTCAAAATACCAATAATAAGCATGATCAACAAACTCAAAGAGGGAATGAATGAATGCCAGAATGAAGACCATGAAAACAAAACACAAAAAAAGTTGAATACAATAATAAAAACAATCCCAAGGTATGCAAATAGACTTTAAAAGGGGAAGTCTTTAAAAGGCCAAAAGAAATAACCCTTGAAATGAAAAATCAGGAATTCAAGCAAAAACGTCTTACTCCAGAAGGGAAGAACTTGGGCATAGTTATCAAATCAAAGCAAAACCAAAGTCCAGCCGTGTAAAAACCCTCACTGTTGGTCAGCTGTGATTCACTTATGAGCTTCTGGACTCCAAAGGGCTTTATTTCTTCAGCTCTATCATTGGCAGCATATGCCGATTGTTTTGTAGACAGAAGCCACCTCCACGTCACAGATGCTGCTATCCTTGGTGGTCATTCCATGGTACTGGCATCTCCGAAATGCTAGAGTCTTCACTCAACTGGGCTGTACCTTTAGCAATAGCCTTTCCTGGACTCTTTTCAGAGACTCTGAGCCTGCCACATGGTACTAAGTCTCAACTTCTCTCCAGGACCCCTTAAATTCTGGAGTTTCTTCTTCAGCTGAGGCTGCACATTCACTAATCACCTCTCCTGGACTCTCACAGAGCAGTCTCAACTGTTCTCCATGACTATTTCATGCCTTCAAAAACAGCACCACCTCGGAGACTCTTACATACTGCCAAGTTCAGCTGCAAGCATTAGGTACAGCCTTCATTCCCTCTGTACCAGGACTTCTGTGTACTGACTCTTAGGATGTACTCCCAGTAGATTGCATCTCAGTGATGCTGGTATTTTTTAAATTGCCACTAATTTCTCAGCTCCAACTAACCACCATCAATTGTCCCAAAAAAGCAAAGGTTTTACTTCAGTGGTTCTTGTCTCATTTTCATCACAGCCAACAGATAACCAGAACCACAAAGCTTTAACACAAAATATCACACTAATTACCCTCACTAGAGCCTTTGCTTTCCTCTGAAACTTAACAATCTAGGCCCGAAACACTAAAGAACACACATTCTTCTTAGAAGCCCATGGTACTTTCTTCAAAAGATACTACTTATTAGGATAAAAATTAAGTCTCAACAAATATAGGAAATTTTAAATCACAGCTTGAATTCCATCTGACTGCAGTGGAGTAAAGCTGAATATCAGTAGCAATAGAAACCACAGAAAGTATACAGTCTTGTGGTAACTAAACAACACACTATTGAAAGGCAGTTAGATAAAAGAACTCATTGGAAAAGAAAAGACTTTCTGACTAGGACACTGATAGCAGAATTAAAACCACCAATTACTAAATGAGACTTTATGAAATTAAAAAACTTCTGTACAATAAAGTATATCATCATTCAAGTGAAGCTTTAACCTACAAATTGGGAAACAATCTTTCCCAATCACACAAAGGATTAGAATCTAGAATATACAAAGACCTCAAAAACTAAATGTAAAGAAAACAAACAACCCAAAGCTAGAAAGATGATTCAGTGGTTAAGATCACTTGATCCTCTTCCAGAGAACCAGGTCTGACTCTCAGTACTCACATGGTGTCTAACAACCATTTATAATGCCTGCCTATAGCCAAATCATGTGGAAGCCTTTTCCCAATCTGTGTTCCCTCCTCTCACAGACTCTAGGCTGTTTCAAGTTGACAAAAAACTGGCCAACATAGCATGTCTCTAAAATTCCCCACAGTCATTTCACCTTTTGGATTATAATATCACCTTCACACTAATGTCTTAGCTACATCAAGGTAATATTGGATCCATATTTGCTCTGCAACAACCAGTCAAGACTTTATTCCATGATACCCTCTTTATATGATATCAAAAATAAAATCAGCAATTTAGGAAAAATAAAGTTTATTGCCATATAAAAGTGTGCATTGCACTATGGGGGACTTCAATTTAAGGGATAAACTCCTTGACCGAAATTGCAGCCCAATTCATAAAGCGTAAATGAGGAAGGATTCTGATACTGTTTTCATAACTGGCTGCCATAGATTAACATTTTTTTTACAATTATTTCTTTTATTTTTTGACATTATAGTATCATTCAGCCATTTCCCCCTTCCCATTTCTCCCCTCCAATCCCTCCTGTATTGCAACAGACAGAGACCATTACAGAAAACCACAACTGATCAGAATCATGAGTTGTGGAGTCCAGCCCCAACTGATCCATCTACAACACTGTTCCCAGTCCTGAGGTTCCAGGATCATTTCAGAAGAGAGGGTGGGGAGAGCCAGAGGAACAGGGAGTTTGCTGTGAGATTGTTTCTCACAGCAGTTTCAGAAGCTATACCTGTAAGTCTCACCAACATGACTGCCTAAAGATGAGCTGGTCAAAGACAACAACAGATATGTTAGTGTGGATAGAGGAGACCCCCCCCCCCACCTTTTTTAAGGCAGTTAGAATTGTTTACATTAATTTGTTTATAACTGACTAGTGTTTTGTCAGGTTGTGCTGGCAGAATTGCAAAGCTTATATTTTGTGTTTGTGTTAGAGATAGAGTTTCTGATAAATCAGGACCATTTATATTTTGGTTATATGGTTATCACCATTTGACTTTGGGGTATTTGTAATCTGTGATGCCCACTTTTGTTTTTTTATTCAACAGTACTTAGGACTCAGAGTCTCCCAAATGATCATGAGCCACATGAATGATTGATGGCTTCCTTAAGCTCTTCAGTCTTGTTGATCATATCTCTTCATCTAAGTGGGGAGCCTTATAAGATTCCTCTCACCTGCTTTGGCAAGTCAATTGGTAGCATCATTTTTGAGGGTTGTTGGGTTTTGTTTGTTTGTTTGTTTGTTAGCTTTTGGGTTTTTTTTTTGTTTGGTTTGGTTTTGGGGTTTTGGGTTTTATGGCAGCCATGTTTTTGAGATTTATGGTAGCAGCTTTCCTGTCCCATATAGAAGACGCCTTAAAATCTTTCCAGCTCTTCTTCAGCAATGTTCCCTGAGCTTTTTATGTAAGTGCTGTGTTGTAGAGAACCAATTGGGCCAACACACCACATGCTCAGTTGTTCTCTGCATTTTGACCAGTTGAGGCTTTCTGCAATGGTCTCTGTCTGCTGCATAGAGAAGCTTCTTTGATGAGGCCTGAGAGGTAGACTTATAGTATAAAATGCAATTAGAGAGTATACTGGTTTAAGAAAGTGGCAGTAGCAGGTTCTCTTCTAGGTGCCACCACCTCACCAGCTACTAGTAGTCAGCTAATTTTCAGTCCCAGGATGAATTCCTTCCTAATGAGAGGGAAGGCCTTAAGTTCAGTTAGGTGGCTGTTGGTTACTACCAAAATATAAGTGCCACTACTACACTTTTGGAATAGCTTTCCATTCAAGTTATTTTTATGGTTCATTGATGCTACAGCTGGGTAGGGCTACCAACTACTTTTTTTCCTTTGGCAATTTACATAGCTTCTTCTGACACTATGAGAACTAATCCTTAGGGAGGAAGCATCCAGGTCAGTTCCATCTGGATTCTTCCAAGTCTTGTGTCTGAAGTATGTGATATCTTCTGGTCACTAAGGGCAATGCAATAGCCTGTATTGTTTGGGTGGAGTCTTCTGGATTCCCTTGACTAATAACTCAAATGAAGATTTCCCATACCTGGTATTGGTGCTTTTATTATATAGTCTATGAATTTTGAGGAGAGTATTATCACCCCAAGTGGTGTAGCTTCAATTAAACTATTATACATGTAAATATTACATATGTACAGAAAAAGTATTATACTAACATATATAATTGCATATATTATTATAATATATGTATATTAAAGAATGCACTATATATACTATTATAGTGTGTGTGTGTGTGTGTGTGTGTGTGTGTGTGTGTGTGTGTGTGTACTAAAGATAGGCCATGAAGTTGAAAAGAAACTGGGGAGGCTTTGGAAGAGTTGGTGAGAGATGTTAAATACATGTAATTTTAAATAAAAATAAAGTATAGGATTCTTATGTCTCTTTCAAGCATCTTTAGTGTTAATTATCTGTCCTCTCTCTTCTTAAATCTCCGTCTGTATTGCCCCCCAACCCAAGGCAAGTCTCTCTCACCAGCCTTTCCCATTTCTAATGGTGATTTAATCAAATGTATGAGGTCCTGATACATGATTTTTGTTCAACTTGTGCTGATTTTATTTGAATATCAAAGATTAACTCTACTTTTTATCTAATCAAGCTTTCATCTTATACAATTCCACACATGTACCCAGTGCCTATTGACCCCTCTCAATCCCTACCCTCTCTTATCTGCCTACCACCCATGTCCAACCCCTTTCCTCCTCACAAATCTCTCCACTTTCATGCCTGTTGATTTGGAGTGAGGGGTGTTGTCATTGTTGTTACCCACTGGGTTTAACAAGGGCCATTGTCATGACCCTGAGAGCTGTCCATTGGAACCTGGTGTGATCATCAGGGGATGTACAAGAGAAAACAAGGACCCTCCCTCTCTCAGAATCCACCAATAGCCAAAGTACTGCTGTAAAGGGTATGTATAGTCCCATAAGTTCCACCCACTTCCATGACTGATTGATACGTTGGCCTAGTGAAGGTAATTACTATTGTTGTGAAGTAATGATTTTCACAATTATATCAAGTCTAAAGGATAGTATTTCACAGCCTTTTGTCCTACCTTCCAACTCTTACATACTTCTCACTCCTTTTTCTTCAATGTTCTGAGCTTTTTTTAATATCTAAGGGAAAATAGAATTGTCTTTCCTCATTTATTAGTGAACAGGTCTGACAGCATTACTAAGGCCAAGGCACAGGGACTGGGAACTGGCCAGCCCTGGAACTTCTCACTTAGTTAATATGATCTGGTTTCTCCTTGCAGCATTTCAGTTTCGTGTCTTTGCCAACTGATGTGCTGGAAATTGAAGTGAAGGACAAGTTTGCCAAGAGCCGTCCCATCATCAAGCGTTTCTTGGGAAAGCTGTCAATGCCTGTTCAGAGGCTGCTGGAGAGACACGCCATAGGGTAAACTGTGACTGGGGTGGCTATGCTTCCACTTGTAGGCCGCCTCCAGGAAGACTTGTAAGCTCCATTATAAAGTCTTATGGAAAGACAAACTGAGATGGTTTCCAGTTCCTGGGCTTCTCCCATCAATATCATTTCCTGAGCCATGAGATTCAATTAAATCGTTCCCCTTCTTACTCATGTATAGTTTTTATAATACATATTAAAGAGTATAGAAAGTCATAAGACAATATTGAAAAAATGCACATTTTCCTGAATAAATAGAAATTTGAAGTTTGCCTTTGCTATGGAAAGCATTTCATTCCTTCACCTGTCTTGTATGTAGGATTTAACCACAAACTGCATTTCCATGACCAGATGAAATGTTACATTTCTTGGGTAAAATTTTCTCAAAATATGCTATTTACAGAAAATTCTAGATGAAAATTTGAAAGCACACAGTCTCAGGGAATGACAGCAATTATATTGGTTGCAGAAGTCAATTGTAAATGAGAATATGCTTTTGTGTTTTAAATATTTTCCACTCATATTCATTGATAGTTTTTATTAAAATGAACTATGATCAGATCATCTCTTTGTATTATGTGTATTTCCTTAGCTAACAGCACTGCATTTGGAAATATTAGCTTAGGTCTTTGGCTATAAGCATATCATTAATATGATATGACTCAGAGTAATATCAAAGGAATGAAAAATATTACCAGACTTTTTGGGTAATTTTAATTGCAGTTCTCTGAGGATTTGTTTAGTACCTGACAGCATGTGTGTAGCTGTGTGCTCACAAGGATGCCATTAATTCTTAAACCAAAGGAAGCTGATATATATGGAGCTACTACCCCATGCCAGACTATGTTCCCACTGCTGTTTATGTTTGTGAAAACTGAATAAACAAGACCCTGGTGCAGATTGCCTAACATTATCACTGGCACATAGAAGGAACTTAAAAGGGAATAGTGTTCCTTATGACCTTTTTTTTTAATTTGGTTCTCATAACACGTCTACAATGTAAGCATTATTGCTTCTCCACATAGGAAAGTGAGACCTGTGAGGGATAAGGCAAGGTTAAACACACTTGCTTCTCTCCAAAGACCAAGTAAACCTCTCCCCAAGAGAGGCTTCCTGCAACTGATTGCCTAGTTTGTTATCGCCATGCCTTTCATTCCTCTCCTACCCTCACAATGCTAATGCTCTGCTGGGTGTGGGGCAAGAGGACAGAAAGGGGTTTGGCAAGATGTCTGATACTCTAGGGGTAAGCACACCTCGGCCTAACAGATATTCAGTTACATCCTGCTGGCTGAACACTCTGGCTCATTACAGCAACAGAGAGGACTCACCCACTTTCCTATACCAAGCACCTTTTTTAGTATTGACATGCAGTGCCAGCCTTTCACTGTGGAAGAATGTATACCCAGGTAGGAAAAAAAAAAAAAAAAAACAACCGAGGTAGAAAAGGGTCTCCCCTAACCTGAGCAAGCTTAGTTTGATTTTCCTAGTGGTCTTTCATCTTGAAGGAAGGGGCAGCAGAGATGAGTACAAGCAACAATAAGCCTTGGTGGGATTACACCCCACCACCTCTGATGGGATGACACACTTACCCTATTGGGTTTGGAAGTTCTCCAACTCCTACTCTTCAACTTCCTCCTGCCACTCCACCTCCTCTTCCAAGGCCTGCAGCATCCATCATCTGTAGAGACCACTTCTGTAATGCTGCCCATTATGGGTATGTCCAACATAAGTAGGAACAAATTCCTGGGCTATGGCCATGAAGCAGCAATCATTTGACTTGAGCCATGGTACAACCCCAGAGTACACACACACACACACACACACACACACACACACACACACACACACACATTATTTTCAGTCCTCTCTTCTTTCCTTAAACCGTAGTAATTTCAATTGTCTTTTGGCCTCTAAACTCAACTCTAATCTTCAATTTGGGAATGTCACTGACTACCTAGGTCATTATTTACTGGTCTTTCCTTATTCTCCAGCCAACTGTAAGCTGTTAAAGGGAGAGGTACATATAGAGGTACATTCTGTGAGGTACATATAGACTTCAGCCTGTAGGACACAAAGGTCAACTTCAGTCTTTTTACATGGCAGGAGCTCAGAAACTACTTGGTTTCTGTGTGGTTGAAAGCGAAGAAAGGAAATCTTAGAAAGTGAGTGCAAAACATAGTAAACTTAATTACCATGTCACATATGATCATCTTTAATTCTCACTTCAATTAAGTTTTAGATTCAGAAAGTATTTCTTATGATCATAGTGGACATACTTCAAAATATTAACTAATATCCCCCCTTCGTAAATTGACAGAACTTTCTCGTTAATCCAATTATATCTCCATATAATATTTTAATTCTGACATATAGTGAATTCTGACAAAAAACGCTTTATTGAGGAAAATATTAAATTACTACATCATTGGACTATTTTATTTGCTTCATAATGTCAGTTTTTCCTAAGGAAACTTTTAATACTGACAGCCAATGACTTGTGTTTTTATTTGAGTATCACAAATGAATTAGTGGAGTGAATATAGAGTAAACAATTGGGTATGTAATGTACCTTTGTTTATCCCTGGATCTCCCAAGGAAGTACTTTCCCTAATTTGGCCAAGGTAGCCAGAAATTGCTTTGTAAAAACTGTATTGTTTGTGAAAATATATCATTACAACTTCAAATTGATTCTTCCCTGGATAGATTATTTTCAGTAATTTAAAAAGGTACTTTGAATGAGCATGGCACCAGAATCCAGAATAGTCAATACGTGTCTCTATACTTGGTGCATCTGGAAATCAAGGTCAGTGAACACGTCTTGGTTTTGCTCCATCCTGTAGCTTTCCATAGCTCAGCAAGGCTCTCCAGTAACTATCATGGCATCTATTTTTATACATTACATATATTCCTCCCAACATATTTTGGCATATCCATTGCCAGGGGCATATTTGGAAATGACAATGTCCACAGGAAGATCAAGCAAAGACATTTACAATTTTTGTCCCTTTGCCTTCTATATAACACATATTATCAAACTTACTCTGTGGAGGGAGTAATAGTTTAAGATCTACAGGTCACGCAGTCTCTGTCTAAGCTGTTCAACTCTTCCACTGTGGCAGAAAATAGCCACAGGCAATGTGTAAGCTCACGAGTGTTGATGGACACTTAAATTAGAATTTCACATAATTTACTTTTCTTTAAGAGTTTCCCCCAAAATATTTAAAAATAAATCTCATGGCCATACCAAAATAAAAAAAAGTGATGACTAAATATGAGCTGTAGTTTCCTGACCCTTGAGTTAGAATATTTGAAAAGAATTTCCTTGTACTTAACCCAACATATGTACCTTAAGGTGGTAGCATATGCCCCCAGAGAGACCTTCACTTCCTGTTATAGTGGTTTCTCTGAGCTTGCCTGTCCCACCAGCTGGTGTGGAAAGCACACTGTGGTCTTTAGCAGGATAGTTCATTACAAAATCTGTGATGGTGCTTATTTCCTTCTAGGGATAGGGTGGTCAGCTACACACTTGGCCGCAGGCTTCCAACTGATCATGTGAGTGGACAGCTGCAATTCCGATTTGAGATCACATCCTCCATCCATGCAGGTACTTTCAACCTGATCTTCATGTCGTGTTCAAGGCTAGTGTTCTAGTGCGGTTCTTTTCTCTAAAACACAAATAACCATCGTTATCTCCAAGTGTGTTATAGGCTTTGTAGTTCTCTCATCTCCGTCTGAGCCCCAGAAGCCAGGGACCTATTTTAAAAGCCAGGTTTGCTAGCTCCTTGGTTAAAAGGTTCCTCTTAACCCCTATCACCCAAAGATAGATGGTTGCACAGTAGAATAAAGGTCAACAATGTGATACAAACTGTGTCTTATTATTTTACTGCCAAAACCTCACATAGGAGATGCTCAAAAGCTGTTTAATCACTCTACACATGAGCAAATGAATGAATGAATGAATGAATGAATGAAAGAATGGATGAATGTGAAGCATCCCTCTCTACCTAGTAACTAGTTATAGATTTGCTCTGAGCTGAAGAATGACATATTGTTGAAGAGCTACAATTATACAGTGACTTTTGACAGTATTGCAGGGAATATGAAAATTGTAAACAGAAATTTTCAGAACTGTCTTGTATTCATTTTCCATACCAAACCATATTTCCAAATAATAATGATGAGATGATGACTCATAATCCTCCTTTTTCTCTTTTCCACACACCCATACTAAATGTAAACCATGCTGAGAAATGTTAAGTCATCTTGAACCAAATATATGATTTGCTATTAAAGCTAATGAAGCCTCTGAGAATTTAGAGGCTGAGGTTTATTGCCACCCAATCACCAAGCCCCAGTATACAACTAGGCTGTAAGAAGACACTTGTTTGATCCTGTCACACTCAGCCTTTTGCTATTCTAAGACTGACCCTTCAGTGTGTGCAGAAAGAGCTTTATGTTTTAGCAGAGAGATAATTTTCTTCAAATAGGGAATTGTGCTAATACATTTGAAGTGGAATGCCAATCTGATCTATTTCCAGCCAAGTAGGTAAAGTTAAACAGTGTTTGCTTCTCCTTGAAAGGTGGTGTGGTTGGAAAACTTAGTTTCCTATTGTTAAATACTTCAGATGACTATGAACGCAACCCAACCCTTTTCTTTTCTGTTGCAGCTGAAGAGCCTGACTTAGCTATTCTATCATCTTGCAGGATGATCCATGGGAAACGTTTTAAACAAGTGCAATTAACTTGTCTAGGGTTTTTAAGGAATTATAAACACTGTTGCTATCCTTATCTCTGAATGTCACTGTATGTAACAAACATTGTTGATCTCTGAAACTGGGTAAAGCTCAGTTTGGGACATTAAAAAATTTTTCTTAGCAGTCCCTTGAAAGAGAACTTTAAAATAGTAGCCTTGCTGAAAGTGTCATTAACATAAAGAGCACTCATTACAGAATTTTCTAGTAGCAATCTAGAGAGCGAGAAGCCCTCATCCACTCATCTCCAGTATCTTATATTAGAGATCCTTTGCCATGTTTTACATGTGCCTGCACGGAACACTAGCTCCCATAGCTCTTCTGGAAAGAATGACATAGTTTTCTTCTTGCCAACAGATGATGAGGAGATCTCTCTGAGTGCTGAGCCTGAGTCAGCAGAAATACAGGACAGTGTCATGACCAGTGTGGTGGAAAGCAGCAGTGGGGGACCTCCTGGAGATGTTCCAGAAAACTCCAAGAACTTGAAGCCAGAGTTGCCAAGTGAAGCGAATGGAGTGAACAGCTCAGGAAACCAAAACCAGGAGTATGCCAGGCCACTTGAGGAAGCCGCAGGTACCATGGAGGCTGGAGATGGTGGTTCTTTCTCTGAAGAACCCGAAGGGGCTGAAGAGATTCCAGACCCGGAGCAACGTGACACCCAGCCCACTCTGAGTGCAGAAGAAGTGGCAGAGGAACTTCCCCTGGAGGAGGATCTGCCACCACCGCTGTTGCCAGAAGACAGTGCAGCCCCAGGTAGCCAGGTCGAAGAGGAAACAGTGCCGGAAAATGGAGCCAGAGAGGAGATGCAAGAGAAGGGCCCAGATGAGGAGGAGGAGGAAGAGGATGTTTCTGCCCTGGAGCAAAGAGAGCCTGGACTGCAGCTGAGGGCCTCGGTGAAAAAAAAAAGCAGACCATGTTCCTTGCCTGTATCTGAGCTTGAGACAGTGATTGCATCTGCCTGTGGAGACCCTGAGACCCCAAGGACACACTATATCCGAATCCATACCCTGCTGCACAGCATGCCCTCGGCTCAGAGAGGGAGCACCACAGAGGACGAGGATGGCTTGGAGGAGGAAACAACCCTAAAGGAGTCCTCTGAAAAAGATGGGCTCAGCGAGGTGGACACAATAGCTGCTGACCCGCAGACCATGGAAGATGGCGAGAATGAGGGGGCTACTCTATGCATGGCACCCTCTGACGGCTCTGGGGGCCACGTCTCCAGTTTGTCCAAAACTATTGGTGCTGGCCAGGATGGTGATGTACACCCCAGCACTGGGAGCGAGAGTGACTCCAGCCCCCAGCAAGGAGCAGACCACAGTTGCGAGGGCTGTGATGCCTCGTGCTGCAGCCCTTCATGCTATAGCACATCGTGCTACAGCAGCTCCTGCTACAGCAGCTCCTGCTACAGCAGCTCCTGCTACAATGGCAACAACCGGTTTGCCAGCCACACACGCTTTTCCTCTGTGGACAGCGCCAAGATCTCTGAGAGCACCGTCTTCTCTTCGCAAGAGGATGAGGAGGAGGAAAACAGCGCATTCGAGTCGGTCCCTGACTCAATGCAAAGCCCAGAGCTAGATCCCGAGTCTACAAATGGGGCTGGGCCTTGGCAGGATGAACTGGCTGCCCCTGCTGGGAATGCAGCAAGAACTACTGAAGGTCTGGAGTCCCCCATGGCAGGTCCCAGCAATAGGAGAGAAGGTTAGACTGCAAACCAGATCAGTGAGAATAGGACCACCACGATACTAAGACACGAGTCTCCCCCTGTGGAGGTGGAGGGACCAGTCTCAAAGGGCTAGTCTGGATGCACATATTCATGCTGTTGTCTATGTGTGTGAATTTCTGGCACAACTTGTCTCAAATTCACACCAAGAAATACAGCTAGTAGGATGTGAGCGGCTACCTACCTGTGTGTGCTTCCTTTTGTTTTGACTAATGACCAGAGCTAGTTGGTACAAGTTAGCTTCCCGGTCTTAACAGTAACCCCAGGGGTAAAACTAATATCAAATGACATAAACATTAAATGATGGCAGATAGGCGTCATCATCGGCATTAGATAGCAAATATATTGACTTTCTAAAACACATTGAAGATCAGTGATAGATATGAGTAATTGCTGAAGAACATGGATTCTTCCCGCCCCGGCACACTCTGTAGCTCTGGGGGCCACTCCTCCAGTTTGTCCCAAAGCACTGGCATTGGCCAGCATGGCAATGCACTCTGTACATGGATAGATGACATGCCTTTTTCTTCCTTCTACCAGCCCAATTCCTGTTATAAGAGTTGATTTTGTTTTGTTTTGTTGGGCTATTTTAGCTACTGGAAAGGAAGAGCAGCATTATTAACCAGAGTCTCTTGGGTCTGAGCCAAGGTCCTGACATCCCTACCAATCGAGGTTCCACTAACTAAAGACACCATGAATAGTGAAAAGCAGAAAAGGAAGGGAGGTTGTCACATTGGAAAAGAGGACTAAAAGGTTCAGTGGTACACATTAGGTCCGTGTTTAGGGTCTTGACAGAAGGTTTGAGTTTAGAGTTGTGCATAACTAAGTAGTTTATGCTAAGGGTTAGTCCCACCCATCATCATTATCTGGCTTTCTCCCTCATCATAACTGTCTCCTGGTTCTCCCTGAAGGAAGGTCTGACAAGTTGTGGAAACTATCTGAAACCTGCCAGACACAGGCTCTCTCTCAGGCCAGCAACAGGCCTCAGCCTTTTCCTTCTAACATGGAATTCCTAAGGAAATTCTAATTTCTTGGGTCCATTGTTTTAAGTCTGTTAGTCAGATTGAGGGCTATAAATGTCTTTCTGGAATATCTTCATTTCTGCCAGCCCAGTTATAGTGCAAATACATAAAATCTCATGTTTCAAATAAGATTCTAATCCAAACCTTTGGTTTTAAAATGAATTGCTCATTCCACATAAATCCAAACTGACACCTATTAAACTAGTATTCCTTACATTAGTTATGTTTTTTTCTTCTATAAAATTTTTACTTAAAACTCAATTTAAAATAGTTATCAAAAAAACTGCAGATAAGTGAAAGGAGCAGAGTTACATGGTCACAAGTTCAGGTCCTGGAGACAAGTCCATCATGCCACTTGCTCACAAAATACCTAACTGCTCTCTATCTCCACTTCCTTGTGTGCCAAGGGTATAACTGTAGCATTGACCTCAGGGAATTATGGAAAGAGTTAAATGACATGGAGCAATGAGGCATTCTGCCTTCTCTCCTAATGAGAGTTCTTTCAGGCAGATAAGCAAGAAAGTTAATTGTTCAAGTTGCACAAGAAAAAGCACCCTTTGACTCTACCCTTACCATATTAGCCAAGGAAACTTTCATACAATTAAATAGTCATCACTTTGCTTCAAATGGTATTCTGGTAGCTTATGTTGACACAAATACATAGCTTCCAATTCAAAGAGTATAAGAATTAGTTTATTCTGGAGCCAAATATAAGTGGCCACGGCTTAAGAACACAGCTTTAGGTCACCTTAAATTCCAGGTTCCAAAGCAGTTGCATGAAGTTTCTGTAGAAACAAAATGAAGAGAGCCACAAATAATGACACTTTAAAAATGCGTTAGTGGAAACAGTGAGTAGGTGGTTACAGCACAGTGGAGAAACCTCAGCTGTAGACCTTAGATGCTGTGTGATGACACAGCCCTTTGATTGGTGGAAAACTAGAGTTTTGTCCAGTTTATTCATTCTAAAAAGTGTTTTTTTTTCATCTCTCTGGATGTTAGGCTTTGTCTATTAGTGACCAGACATTAGATCTCATGCAGAATGGGGGTAAAGAATGGCTACTTAGTAGGTGAACAATATCCCAAGATGAATTGTGATTCAGCTTTGGGCCTGTAACATTCCACCATTTCCACATCACTGAAAGTCTAACTAGTCAATAGTCTTTGCAGACACAGATTCCTTACAGGAAGTCTCTTTCACACACATCTCTTCTACAGTTTTGCCATGTTGGTTATAAGAAGAATAAATTTAAAGACCCTCTCTTAATTTTACTTGAGAGATATTATTTCTTCTTGACTATTCTGAACACTTTATGTGAAGCCAAGGTGATTGCATGAGGCTCTGGTACAGAACAGAGTCGCTTGCTCGTTTCAGTCAGCCGCCATGAGTCAGTCACACCGCTGTAGTTTCTTGGGGTGCACAAGCAGGCTGGATGTGCTTTCGCCAAGCAACAGTATTATATTTCCACAAGGTTGGAGGAGTGGCTACCATGTTTGGTTGAATTCATTACAATGAAGTGAGGTTTTTTTCAGGAAACAAAATTTAAAGGACAGTGGTTGAGGACAAATAGCTGTACCATTGTTTTCCTTTTCAAATTTCTAACCCTAAACACCTATGAAAATAAATGTGAGTGCCACGTCCACTTAAACACAGAAGCTGTGTTTGAAATGGCCACTTGTCCACAGTGAATGCTGTGCTGACATGAGGAGTGCCTTCCTTGATTTCTACTGGTACCTTCAAAGAACTAAAGGATTTTAGTAATGGCGAGAATGCTCAGAAAAAATGTATTTTTAATATTAAGAATGGCCTTTTGTTCTGAGTACATCTTTATTTTTAATTGTCAGTTATCTCTTGAAATTAAACTACTAAACTAAGCCCACCTAATGTCTTTCTACTAATTTATTTTCCATATAGTCTATAGAACTATAGTGGGAAAAATCATATTTCCATGCATGAATGTCCTGGGAAATGTTCTCTATTTGAGATCCCTCAAAGATCTTGACCATTACTTCTTACTTTCTCCCCATTTTTGACCCAAGGTTAATAGAATACATACTATCTACAATAGTCCTGGAAGGAAAAGGAAAAAAAAAGATGTCTTCTGGTCAGTAGGGTATGAGCATGGTATGAGGCAGGAGGAAAGCAATATAGAATTGGGTGGGGGCTGTCTGTGTTTTGGGCTCTTGGGGTCTCCAGAGATTGAATCATTTAGGATCGTTTACATGGTCAATCTGCACACTTTAGTAGACTTTGAAACAGAAACACTGTTCTAGAATTTTGTTTGGTTAATCATAAGTCTGTACTGACAGCAGTACAAGCAATGTATATAATAACATGAGACATTAAATCTATAGATATGTTTATTTCTATAATTTCTTTGTATGTCCTTTTTTCTTCTGTCTATCCCACTTCTCTGTTTCAAATTTTCTTGAATCCATCTTCTTGCCTTTTATCTACTGCCTTTGTCTATTGTTCATTCCTCTTTCTAGAGCACTTTGGCTTTTCTAACTCCTCCTCCACATAATCTGGAATAACCATGACTTCCCATGACATGTTTCACTGCCCATCTCATCTTCTAATTTCCATTTGTAGGAATTGACATTCTTGGACTACCAGTTCCTCAATCCATCTTGGAAAAGCACTATCTTAGAGTTTTAGTCTCCCTCTAAGTCTGAAAAAAACAGTCTTTGAATAGTCTTCTGTTGCTTTAATTATAAGACCCTCATATCCATATGATAAGGTGTGTTTCCCATAATTCAACAAAGCTTTTGTGAGACCTTACACATACTTCACTCCCTTCAAACAAGCCTGTCTCCTTTACTGGACTAAAATAAGGCTCTTTAAGTTTTCCCTTGGGTTCCTTTGAAGTGGTTGCAGAAACAGACTCTGAGCCCACGGATTGGTCTATGTGGCATAGATTGAAAGTCAAAATATATTTGGATTTTCCTTTTTCTCGTCTTTTTTCCTCTCCATCTTCCTCTTCTTTCTACTCTTCTTTCCCCCTGCTCTTCTTCCTCCTCTTTCTACTCTTCTTTCCCCCTGCTCTTCTTCCTCCTCTTCCTTTTCCTTAATAATTTCTGTCATGATGACATGGTTATAGTAAACTGACTAAAACTAGATTGCCCATTTTATTTGTTGTTTCTTATGGTGATCTTTGTTTTACAGTCATGTTTTTTATAACATTGCCATAGCAATGAATATGAATGTCTTGACTATCTTGTTCATAGGTGAATGTCCTATACTCCATAATTCCCAGCCAATAAGCCAGCTTCCTTCCTTGAGGCCTGAACATCATCACTACCCAACAATCGATGAGCCTCTTCCACCAAGTAAGCTTTAGTTTTCAAATCTATGACTTAACTCTTCCCACCGAGTCTGAACAGGTCAGTGTGAACTCATATGCAAGCATCCAAAACTCTTTCCAAGTTCCACACTTAGCACTACTATTAAACACCAATATATACTTACTATAACCAGGCTTTTTAACAAGCTGTTTCAATACACGGTATTAAAGTGACAACCAAATGTTAATGTCCCTAAGATTTTGAAGGAGAAGAAAAAAATAAGTAACATTTCTTTATAAGACCTGACTAGTCTTTGTTTGTGACCTTTCAGTCCTAAATTTGCCATTTTAAAATTTTCAGTTGGAAATAGAAATCTATTTTTCTCCAGTGAATCTAGTATCCACAAATGTCTCCATAGAATACAACAACTTCAACCCATAGTGTTTTAAGAAACTGTACTTTCCAAAATAACACACATCAAAGGATTAAAATCTCCAAATGTCTGTAGTTATTAGACATTTCCAGGAAAACTATTATTTTTAGGATAGAATTCAGTAACATTTTGTCCTAGTAACTGTCCTAAATTAACAATTCTTTAGCTAGTCATTTGAGCTTAGGAAATTCATTTAACCTCTAAAATACTGTATTTTATTATTTGTGAGAATAAAAACTTTAATGTCCCCATCTGCTAAATTCTGAGTTTGGACTAGGTAGTCTGTACATGCCATTCAGGCTTAACCTGTACCACTTCACTTAAAATATTTAGAAGGAAATGAACCTCTGAATTTTTTAAACTTATTTAATATAACATGTGTTCATGAATTCTGGAACTTCTCTGTTTGAGTTCAGGATATTTCCACACAAAGATAACCTTTAATATTGGATAAATTATTGTAAATGAAAAATTATTCCCAAAATTCACATTTTTGCATGAGCTTGCATTGGGCAGTTGTAGTTTTTAAAAAGAGAAATGTTTATTTAGGAATTCATCTGTTCTTGGTAACATATTATATTTATATGAATACTACTTTTCTCCCTATTCAGTCATATGTTAACAGTGAGGAATTTACAAATGTCTTTAATATATACCCTAGCTTAAAGCATCACCACATTTATTTCTCTGAGACCAAACCAAGCATTATGTTTTTTTAATTTTTTGCTTGATTTCTTTCTTCATTTATATACTGATTTATGATATGACTTAAGAAAACAGTAAAACCCATCATATTTCATATATGATTATTTGAAAAATGTATACATAACATGTTATTTCTAAAACAAGCCTCTCTCTCTCTCTCTCTCTCTCTCTCTCTCTCGCTCTCTCTGTTTCACACACACACACACACACACACACACACACACACACACACACACACACAAATCCTATCTACACATGTATAAATAGCCTGATCTATAATCCATGCAGTAGCATAACTAGTTATAAATAGAGGCATTAAAAATAATTTGACATACAATCACCTCAAAATAACTACCTAATATAAACCACTCTCAATAATAAAATAGAATCTAAATAGGTTTTAATTTTTATCCATAAAGCAATGAAAAAATATTAGAAAATTTGCTAGTGAACTTTGACAACAGGATTTTCTTAGACAATCTCAAATAGGACATGAATGACTTCACTACTGACAGTCATTCATTCATCAGTTATTTACTGAATACTGTGTAATTGGTGCTGTTTAAGATAAACAGAATGGACAATGATTCCTCATGCTAATCTGGAAAGTAGATGATAAACAATAAAATAATACATAGGAGACTACTTTTAACTGGTGATAAATGCAATGAAAAAATAAATAAAGAAAGATAAGGAGTCATTTCATGTGTAGTAGACAACTGATTTGCAATTTTAGATCCAGAAGTCTAAGCAAGCTTCCCTAAGAATCCTAATAATGGATGAGAGAGCAGAACTACTCAAAATAATGCTGAGGGAAAGCTTTACAGGCAGGGGGAGCAATCATAGCAGCTGCCGAGCTCTAGGTGGAGGCATGATGGTGGGCTTGAAGAATAAAGCCAGTGAGTGCATCTGAAGCCAAGGAAGAGAGAAAGTAGCAGATAATACGGTCACGGGAAACAGCACAAAGCAATCACCTGGGGCTTTGCAGACTGCTGCAGGGGTTCTCAACCTTTGTAATGTTGCAGCCCTCTAACGCAGTTCCTCATGCTGTGGTGGCCCCCAACCATAACATTCTCATTGCTGCTTCATAACTGTAATTTTGCTACTTTTATGAATAATAACGTAAATATTTTTGAAGATAGAGGTTTGTCAAAAAGGTCACAAACCACAGGTTGAAAACCTCTGCAGAGGTGTGGCTTTTACCCTGAATGAATGGGACATACCACAGCATTTTGAGCGGGGAAGTGGTATTTCTGGCATGTATTTTGAAATATTTTTCCCTGGTTGTTGTGCAGGGAATAAAATGAAGAGGAAGAGTAGAAGTCTATGAGATACAACATAAGGTTATTGTAGTGGCAAAAGTTAAAAACATTGGTGATTTGGATCAGGGCAGCAGCAATTGAATTGTTAATATATCTAAACATATATTTTGAAGACAACTTTGATGACATATTGAGTATGGAAACGAGATGAAAATAAGAATTAAGAATGACTCATTTTTAGCCTTGACTGACAGAAAAAAACTTTTGTAGAAGAGGTGGAATGGGAATGATCTGAAGCTTGCCTTGATCATATTATAGTTGAGATATCATCAAGTAGTGATGGCAAGAAAGCAATTAGGTATATGTTTATAAAGTTCAAGAAAAAATATATGTAGAGTATTGCATTTATTAAAATATTTAAATACACAATCCAACAATGAAGACAATACATGTTTAAGTTCTTAATAAAACATAATTAGGTATTCAAGAATTCATTCTATCCTAAATTACTCCACTTGACCCACACTACCCTAACTTGCCCTAGTGTAGGATAGATACTGTTTTCAGGGGTCTATGTAAATTCATGGCATCACAGTACTTAATTCTTCTACTAATGCTGAGGCCTGAAGATCCATTCAAAATAATGAATAAGATATGTGATAAAAATGATGTTTGTAAGATATGTGAAAATAAATTCTTTACAAAGCAACCCAGAAAACATACTCAAATGCAACTAATTATTTAATGCATATTTGTAAAAATATAAAAATTAACACAATGTGTTTCAGATACTTAATGTATTAATAAAAGAGCTGAGGGTTTTGATGACCATCCTTTCCAGGAGTGATTTTGAGATTTGAAACTTGCTAAGAATGTGTCATCAGTGTTCCATTCCCCGGTGTCCCTCCCCCTTGGAGAACTTGCTAATGGAGAAATCTATGCTTCTCTTGGAGCAGAGATCTGTGTCATCTGTGTCCTTAGAACTTGACAAAGCTCCTAGTTTATAGCAAGTGGAAGTGGGGTTTTCTCACCTGAATTAAATAACACGGTGTTATTTGAAAGATAAGCTTTGTTGGATGATAGTTCAAGAAAAACAATTGTTCAATAGCTTTCTATGATTAAAAAAACAACATAAATTATAAACTTTTGGAACAAGATTAATTATGAAGTTATAAAATTACAAGTATGTGCAGTATTATCATCAATGAATTATTGTTCTAATAGTTGACATCTGAATATCTAATAGCCTACTTTAGGGAAATCCTCCTAGAATATATTTCTGTAATTCAACTACATTTTTTCCTTCCATTTGCCATACACATTAACTTTTGGATTTTCTGGCATTTGGATTTTCATTGGGCATTGACAATTCTCTAGGTTAGGCATACAAAATTATGTTTCTAAACAGCTATGCCATACACATATAAAACCATAAGAATGCCAAATTTATCTTCCGTTTAAAACTTGAGAGTCACTATATCATTGCCTAAGTCATGAGTTTTCAAGATGACTGTTAATATTGGATCCACTCCTGAAACTGTCTTTTCTCACTTAAAAGACCAAATAGTTTTCCTCTTTTTGCAATTATGTTTCCTATTTGTCTTAGCATGTTTAGTATTTCCTTAGCATTTTCAACATGACACCATATTGGAGTTATTTCCACCACATTTTTATATATGGACTACAGAAGTTTTACCCATCACTGTGTATCATTGCTCTTATATGCCTAGTTCAGATATAGTTGAAACACAGTTAGCACTCAGATTCAAGACATTTATTCATGGATTTTAACCCACTTCAGCTTACATGTGCATCACCTAATCATCTATGCTTCTGCCTTGACTCCCTCTACTGTTTGTGATGGTTACTTAGCAACAAAGTTTTTATAGCTATATTTAATATATATATGAACATATACATACATATACATATATGTATGTAACAACAATTAATGATAAAAAGAGGTCATAAATTTGAAAAGGAGCAAGGAGGGATAAATGGGAAAAAGGAAAAGAATAAGGGAAATGATGTAATTATAATCTCAAACATTTTTTAAAAACAATTTTAAAAGGGCTTTATCTTTTCATATTTTGCTTATTTTTAAATGCATTTTTAATTAAAAAATAATTGCATCCCTTCCTCCTTCCTTTTCCCCCATCCAATTGGATGTTTGTTATTGTACTATTGATCTGTTTTGGTTTGGTTAACCAGCCATAGGTAGGTTCAATATATACTGTAAGTTTACATTTGATCACATGGATATTTTGAAACTGTAGTTATCAAATTCTTCCATTCACCCCCTTAAAAGAAACTGTAGTTGCTTGAGCATGCTCAGTTTAGAAAGAAGCTTTCTGAAATTGCACATCCAGCATTTCAGAACTAAGTTAGAAAGGAGTTTAGATGCACGATCCATTGTGACTGCCCCCAGCACCTCCTCCTGTTAGACTGAGAAAAGAACAGATTCTCTAGCATCACACCAATGCTTCCTGCGGGGTTTGTCCATCTTCTGCAACTGTTGCTTGAATAACCAGCAAGATTTTTAAAGCAGTAAACAAATTTTCTTTAGACAGTATTAAATTTAAGCACACGTCATAGTCAAGGAACCACAATTATCATGGCAAAGTAGAGTCTGAGTATATTAGCTCCTTTCTGGGAAGCTGATTCCAAGCTCATGTCTAGCAGTCATGGCAAGTGCTAGAAGACAAGAGAGGTGGGGTGTGGTCTTCATAATGAGCCACTGGTGAAGTCTACCTTCAGAAGACCTGGAAGTGGAATGTGTCCACATGGGTTGACAAGTAGTCTGTACTTGACTTTTCTTGTCCTCTTATTAAACATTAGACTGGGAAGCTCGAATTGACAGCCATGGACGAGTATTTTATGTGGACCATGTAAATCGTACAACCACCTGGCAGCGACCAACAGTGGCACCTACCCCAGATGGAATGATCAGGTCCGGGTCTGTCCACCAGATGGAGCAGCTTAACAGAAGGTTGGTGACCAGTGTGGAACAAGACCCTGTAAGCCTTGGTTAGATAAGAATGGCAAGACGTCTCTCTTCTGCTTTCCTGCTCACTGTAAGGAAGCTGAATGAAATTAATTATGTAAGAAATTTGTTCCTGGTAAGTATTTGGAAGGCCAGGTTTGGAAGTTAGTGACAGGAAGCATGTTAAGCTTGAGTGACATTTAAATATAGGATTCCTCTAAATGTCTTACTGGTACAAACAAAAAATAAGAAATTCTTTAACTATGCCCTTAACCCCAAGGATATGAAGATTCCCACAAACTCTCCAAAAATTATATGTAAAATTACATCAGTGATCACATTTTTGGAAGACTAGTTTTCATCATAAGATTTCCTCAAAGATATAGAACACAAAGTAGTTAACATTCCAAGGAAAATTTCCACAAAAATAAAAATCATGCATACAGAAAAATCACCTCATAAAATCACTGTAGACTTTGCCCTTGTCTGTCATCACTGTACACCCATCACTGTAGACTGCCCTTGTCTATCATCACTGTACACCCATCACTGTAGACATTGCTCTTGTCTGTCATCACTGTACACCCATCACTGTAGACTACCCTTGTCTATCATCACTGTAGACTTTGCCCTTGTCTGTCATCACTGTACACCCATCACTGTAGACTTTGCCCTTGTCTGTCATCACTGTACACCCATCACTGTAGACTGCCCTTGTCTATCATCACTGTACACCCATCACTGTAGACTTTGCCCTTGTCTGTCATCACTGTACACCCATCACTGTAGACTTTGCCCTTGTCTGTCATCACTGTACACCCATCACTGTAGACTACCCTTGTCTATCATCACTGTAGACTTTGCCCTTGTCTGTCATCACTGTACACCCATCACTGTAGACATTGCCCTTGTCTGTCATCACTGTACACTCATCACTGTAGACTTTGCCCTTGTCTGTCATCACTGTACACTCATCACTGTAGACTTTGCCCTTGTCTGTCATCACTGTACACTCATCACTGTAGACTTTGCCCTTGTCTGTCATCACTGTACACCCATCACTGTAGACTACCCTTGTCTATCATCACTGTAGACTTTGTCCTTGTCTATCATCAATGTACACCCATCACTGTAGACTTTGCCCTTGTCTATCATCACTGTACACCCATCACTATAGACATTGCTCTTGTCTATCATCACTGTACACCCATCACTATAGACATTGCTCTTGTCTATCATCATTGTACACCCATCACTCTAGACTTTGCCCTTGTCTATCATCACTGTACACCCATCACTGTAGACTGCCCTTGTCTATCATCACTGTAGACTTTGCCCTTGTCTCTCCTCAATGTACACCCATCACTGTAGACTACCCTTGTCTATCATCACTGTAGACTTTGCCCTTGTCTCTCCTCAATGTACACCCATCACTGTAGACTTTGCCCTTGTCTATCATCACTGTACACCCATCACTGTAGACTTTGCCCTTGTCTGTCATCACTGTACACTCATCACTGTAGACTTTGCCCTTGTCTATCATCATTGTACACCCATCACTGTAGACTTTGCCCTTGTCTGTCATCACTGTACACCCATCACTGTAGACATTGCCCTTGTCTATCATCACTGTACACACATCACTGTAGACTTTGCCCTTATCTGTCATCACTGTACACTCATCACTGTAGAATTGTCCCTCTTCTCATAATCACTGCACATCATCACTGTAGAGTTGTCCCTCTTCTCATAATCACTTCACACCATCACTGTAGAGTTCTCCCTCTTCTCGTCATCATTGTGCACCCATAAACAGTAGTTCTTCAAAAGTTTTTATCCCTGAAAAACAAGTGCTTATAATATTTCTGAAATGGCCTATGGTGGTTCACTTGTGTAATTCCAGCTATTTGAGATGCTAAGGTGGGAGGATCTCAAGTTCAAGACCAGCTTGAACAACATATCAAGACCTTATAAGAAATAGAAATTCTTCCAGAATCATTTTGATTAGAAACTATGCCTTCACTCTTGAACTTTCACAGATACTATTTGGGTTTGGGTTGCAACCATGGGTGCTGTGTCCCTCATGCTTCAGGTCAACAACATCTCTATTTTCTTATTCTTTGAGGACAGAGTGAGCAATGGCTTCAGGATATTTTTTGTTATTAGAAGTGCAAGCATCAGGCCTACTTCAGTTGAAACTGCATCTACATCCTGTCTTATTTATTTTTCAAGTGCTAAGTTAAAGAAAAAGTTGAGGGAGACTGAAAAGGCTAGAAACCTAGGTTGAGTATATTTATTGATAACAAAGGCTTTAAGACTTAACTGTATCTGCCTATTAAGTAAGCTTTTTAACCTGTTAAAAATACATGTGATATGAAAGTTGAAAGGGGAATACTTGAAGTGGAAGAGTTTAATTAAAAATGGGTGCAGAGAGATGAGGGAAAGTTAGGGTTGGGAAAGTCAACTACAGATAAGAATGCATGAGGATATCATAAGGAAGCTTGGTATTTTGTAGGCTAATTAAAAAATAAAAGCAAGGAACTGGAAAGATATCCTGGTGATTAGAAGTACTTCTTGCTCTTCTAGAGAACCCAAGTTTGTTTCCTAGTACCTATGTCCAGTGGCTCACAATCATGTATAACTCCAGCTTTGGGGAATCTGACACCCTCTATGGTTTTGGTGGGCACCTGTACACATGTGACATACACTCACACAGATATACACACAGGCACACACAGGCACACACATATACACACGTGAAACTAAGAAAATAAATCTTCCAGATGAATGAATGAATAAATAAATAGATATATAGATAAATAAATGAATAAATAAATAAATAAATAAATAAATAAATAAATAAATAAATAAATAAATAAATAGGTAACTGGTGAGTTCCAGCTTCCTTGAGAAAACCTGTCTCAAAACACAGAGAGCCATCAAGGAACACCACCTGATGTCAACCTCTGGGTACTAAACACATGTGTACACATTCACAGTCTCACACTCACACTTAATTGATTAATTAAAATGAATTCTGAGTATACTTTAGATGAATGTCACCAGAGTATTCTTTTATCACTTGAGTATTTAAAAGACATTTGCCTTCCATTTTTCCATCAGTACCTGAATGTCTAAGTCATGAATAAGAACCATAAAGGATTTTCAACCACAGCATATTTCTCTGCAATTATACCACAGGAACAAACCATATTGCAAGGAATTACCATGACCTAGTTTTATTAGACATAAATGCATACAGCCTTTCTCTGTTGTAAGTCATCTTACAGGCAGAAAGCAGTGTCTGAAGCAATATGCTGAAATTGCTTAGCTAACCAAAAGTGTCATCAAGCTACATATATAAGAGGTGCTGTTTGAACACCAAATAATAAGCAAAGCACAAGATATCAAACCAACAAAGCAATGTATTAAAAAAATAAAAATCAGTATACATTTGTGATGATCAGATTGTACTAAACAAAATTCAGTCCAAATCTATCTGCAGCAGACAGGAGCCCTTCCATGGAGCTGCACACACTGGGAGAGACAGCCAGGGACCATGCTGAATGGAGAACTGCATTTGAATTTGGACAGATAAAGAAAAAGTAGTTTTGCAATTTGAGAAAGTGATAGTTTCTTGTGGAAGAGCCTGTTTACAGAAGTTCATGTTTTTAGACACTTGTCTTTCCCGTTATTTTAAAGTATTTAAAGGCTTCTCTGATTTGGAAGTAGGCAGCCACAAAAAGTGTACTAAAAGTATACTCACTTGTGATCATGCCTAGGTAATTTTTTTTATAACTTCCATTTACTAAGAAAAATCTACAAGGATCACTATCTCACTGAAAAGTGGAAATATGTGTTAGCATTGTGAGGAGGAGTCTTCCCTGACTGTCCACTACATGAATGTGAAGATCAAAAGACATGCCCTGAGAAATGCAGTCAAAAGTTGTAATACCAAAAATTGCCTAGAACTCAATACAAGGTTATTTCTGAGTTAATTCCTAAAGTTGGAGACTGTCTAGCATTAATTAACTCTGCTTTCACACACATATGCACACACGCACATATACATATATATGAGAAGCAAAAAAAATCACCATGCATTTTCATTTTAAATATCAACTAAAACTTATTTTTAATTAATTTTATTAATTAAAATTAATTATTAAATAATTAATTATTAATGTTAAGGGAGATTTAAATTTAAATAGAAGAAAATATATTCATATTACCCCAAAGTTTAAACTTCAAAGAAATTAATCCAATTTTTATTTCAATATATATGCCATGATTCTTACATAGTTATGACATAATGACAATATAATTTTATATTCATTTTTATTATATGTATGATACGGGCTTTATATCACTGCCATGTTTTCAGACTAACATTTAGATCCCTGTAAATATTCTGAGTGACTATAATTTAGTACATGTAACTTCTCATGTTATTGAATATTTGCTTATTGTTTTATCATGATTTTTTATTTGAAAAGCAAGGTCATTTTAAATATTAAGATTATCTTATAGCCGGGCGGTGGTGGTGCACGCCTTTAATCCCAGCACTTGGGAGGCAGAGCCAGGTGGGTCTCTGTGAGTTCAAGGCCAGCCTGGACTACCAAGTGAGTTCCAGGAAAGGCACAAAGCTACACAGAGAAACCCTATCTCGAAAAACAAAAAAATTAAAATTTTTAAAAAAATTAAAAAGTAAAAAGATTATCTTATATTAGAGTATTCCTTTGTGATTCTATTCCCAAAATACCAGCAGGAAATAAACAGTTTGGGTATTTTTTATTGATGCCTAACGTTTTTTAACAATATGGCTTTATAGATTTTACTATGCCCAAAATAGTTTTACTTCTGTCTCATTGTCTGGTCTGTTTTGGCTGATTTAGGAGATATTTCCATATTTCTGGCATTTGGGGATGACATACATTTCACTTCTGAGAGGATCAACTTTTTATCATAATCTTTTCTTTAAGAATTGTAACTAATTCCCACATGAAATTTTTCTTCTACAGCTTTGATTGTTTGTTTGTTTACTTAGACTGGCATAGTTTGGTTTGGGAAGGTTCTTTCTATTTTGTATAATTATATTTGCATGCATGCATGTGTAATTAAAAATTGTATATTTCAGCTGACTTTATTACAGATTTCCATGAGCCTTTTATATATTTTTAGATCCAAACAAAACAAGTGCAGGAGGACATTAAAGATCATTCCTGATGAGATAAAAAAAAAGGGAGGCTTGCTGAGTCTGTGGCTTCTGTGAGATCTGGGCTTCCACAGGCTTTCTGGGTTCCATCACAAACTGTCACCAATGCTATATTCAGTCCCCTGAGAGGAGAAGACTTTGATTCTACATCTTAAAGGGAGAGTGGGAGAACATATGGCTCTAAAAAGATTGTTTAGCCATTGGAGGAAATTATGAGTGCCATATCCATTAGGTAATTGTCCAATAGCAACTTCTACAGTCTTTGGCAATGCTCTGACCCCAGTTAAAGTCAGAGATTGGCAGCTTCTATTCTCCCAGCTGCATTCCCAAGTTCCAGCAAGATCACAGTGGGCCATCTTTTACCTCCTCATAACCTCCCCGCCACAGAGAGGTGAGAAACAAGCACATCATAATGCTCTGATCACTGCATGAATTCCACACTTTCTCAATAGATGTCTCACAGTCACTGCCCCTGGCAAAAGTGGTTTCTCATGGGTTATCAGAAGTGATTGATGGATGATAAAACAAAATGTAACAATCCTACAGACCAATGAATCTCAAACCTAGATACACAGAACAGTATCTCAACAGTATCTCTTAGAAGCACGGGTTTCAATTTTCTTCAGTGAATGTAAGTTAACAGATCCTCTTGTAAGCAGCTTGGAGACCATGGTAGAGAAACTTTGCTCCTTAAAGTCAGGGAAAAAATAGGGTACTGTCTCCTACAGAAGCCTGCTGCAGAAGAATGAACCTCTACAGGACTCGATGTACTCCTCACGTCATCTTGAATTACACCTGCAAACTTGGTTATTTGCTCTCCTTCCTCCCCTTCTGCACACCTCTCCCCATCTTCTTCCTGAACACAAGACTCATATAAGCCACATTTTGTCATAACTTGGAGGAATTATGGGATTTCAAAACTACATTTCTAAATCTAACCAACATCTCCCCTCCCCTATCCACAACCCTCTTGTGTACAGTCTCTAAGTCCTACAAAATAGATTTGTCCAGCTACCTAGTCAAGCAATGTGGCAACAGTTGTCTTATTAATTGTTCTGGTTATCTTATTGGAGTTTTAGACATTTCTGATTTCAATACAATTGTTTACAGACTTTTCCAATTGCACTATTCAGAGCATAAGCAAACACAAGTTGACCCTTGTCTTTCCATTTTCTAATGTACAGGTATCAAAACATTCAAAGAACCATTGCAACAGAGAGACCTGATGAAGATTCTGGCAACCAAAGCTGTGAGCAAATACCGGATGGAGGAGGTGGAGGTGGAGGGAGTGACTCAGAAGCAGAATCTTCCCAGTCAAGCTTAGGTATTGGAGGAGGGGACTCAGAACACTGGAGGTGGCATGGAATGGCTGTGATGGAAGTATGCAAGCCAAGTCCTTACCCTGCCTCATGGGATAGCCACATGATCCCCAGATAGGACAGCAACAAAATATTGAAGAAGATAGAGGAATTAGAGGCATGAGTAAGGGAGACAGCAAAGCTTCCCGCTAGGAATCTTAGAAGATATAGACTCCTGTGTTGTTAGGTAATGTATCTGTTTGTGTCCTGAGGATTTCCACTCATAAATAAAATGTGATAAATGTTCACAATCCATTTCTAATGAGTCTTGTGCATTTAGGATAAAATTCAGTTCTACCAAGGAGGAACCTGGGCACAAAGAGGTTTTCTGGTAGCCTTCTTGTTCACAAATCCAAGAACATACTGTTTTTACCATGTATCAAGCCTTATTTTCCTGTTTTTTTTAATTTCTTTACATCTAACCTGATTGGAATGCCAATAATGATATTTAAAAAGCATGAGACTGGCTTCCACTCTTTGTACCCAAAACAACATATGTGGTTACCACAGTGAAATCCCAGTGAGCCACTTCCTCTTTGAATTGGGTTAAATGGTAACAGATTTGCCAAAAAAGGCCCAGAGACAGTCTAGACAAGTAGATATGCTAATTCTCATTCTGGTAGGTCTCAGAGATTTGTGGCACATAGATATTGGACTTGTTTATTTGATTTATTTTTTTAATTTTTTTAAATGTTTGATAGTTTCACACATTTATATAATGAATTTTAGTCATTTTAGCCTAAATTTCCTGCTCCCATCTCCCCCTTGCCTCTGTCTTGCCAGAACCCTTCTTTATAATAGTCCCTCATCCTACATGTTATATGTGTGTGGCCCACTGAGTTCAATAGTTAAAGTTTCTTAGCTGGCAGTAGGTGAGAGGTTATGTACTAGAACAAGACAAGTTAGCAGTGGCTAGACAAGTAAAGGAAATAACATGAACCCGCCTTCCCCCAATGTTAGCTACCCTCATGGAGAGGCCTAGCCTTGGGATCCTCCCCTATCTGTGATGAATTGTGGAATGGTTCCAGTTCTGAGCAGGCCTTCTGCAGACAAACACAGCTGCAGTCAACTCAAGACTGTGATAACGATGCCATAACTGAGAGACATCTTTTTGTTGGCCAACCCCTACCTGCCGGCTCCTTTCTTCTTAAATCCACTTACACATTTCAATCAAAAATTTTAATTGTCTCCATTCTGCTTTCTCTATCAGACGTAGTAACAAACCCAGTTTAGGCTTTTCTGTTACTAATTTCTTTGTTCAGTCTTCTGAGAGACACAAGGTACAACAACCAAGTAGTTAGAAACAGGAAGGGAAAAGGTAGCTAGGATTATTTCTAGATTTGGTATTGGATCACATGTAATTTATGGTGTAATAAAAGTCTCAATTTTAGTATATAAAATCACAACTCATTTACTCCTCAGATCTGCAGCTTGAGCACTGTCAGCTGAGTAAAGCTGGCAGGCTGCTCAGGGTGGTGCTGTACTCATACACGTCACTTGCTGTTAACTGTGCGGTGACTTGTCTGAGATGGCCTCAGTTTGGAAGCTTGACCCTCTGGCTTGTTTCCTTAGTGGGCATGAGGATAGAAGAGAAACCGAAACACAAGTGTTTGGGTCCCTGTCTCAGAACTGACACACTGCTTCTGCCTTGTGGTCCTGGATGGATCAAAGCATAAGGCCAGGCCCAGTTCAACTAGGAAGGAGCTTGAAAGTCCCACTGCAGAGAAGTGTTGATAGGAGGGGAGAGCCATGACCCCTTCTGTAACTGTCTTAATTACAGGTAACACTTGTAACAAAGCAAGAAAAAGAGACAAAGGAAGGAGATATGAAAGGACTTGAACCTAGCTGAAACTAGATAAGAACCTTACTAAGAAATAATGATACCTGACGTTTAAAAACTCAAAATTATCTCTATGAGTTTGAGTCCAGCCTGGTCTACAAGCAAGTTCCAGGACAGCCAGGGCTGTTACACAGAGAAATTCTGTCTCCAAAAATAAAACAAAACAAAACCTCAAAATTAGAAATGCTTGAAAAAATCCAAATATTTAGTATGCCAACATGATGCCACAAAAGGAAAATACAGTTCATGCAAAAAATTTTTAAATGTTGTATAAACCAGGTATGATGACTTTAATCCCAACACTAAGGAGGTAGAAACAAGACCATGAGTTTGGAATTAGGCTGCACTATATTGTGAGACTGCCTCAAAAAGTTTGTGTAAAATTACCTCTGGGCTATGTAAATAAGGTATAGATGGAAGGTACATAAATTTCATGTTCAGGCATGTGTCTCATCTCTAAAATACCTCATTATGTATATGCACATGTTCTAGAATTTGAAAAAAAAAATCTGATGCAGTTTTGGTGTCAAGCATTTTGGACAAGGGACACTTGACATTCTTGACCTAGTCATGTCACTATGAAAAAATCAAGACTGTGTTGTGGGGGGTCTGTGTTCTGCCATCAGAAAAGACGTACTCAATGTGGAAGAACTTTCCACCCAACATATTCCATTGTTTTGCTTCATTTTTTCCAGATCTGAGGCGAGAAGGATCACTTTCTCCAGTCAACTCACAAAAAATTACCTTGCTGCTACAGTCCCCAGCAGTCAAGTTCATCACCAATCCTGAGTTCTTCACTGTGCTGCATGCCAACTATGTGAGTGCTCAAAAAGCAAAGACGGGGTGGACTGGCTTCCTGAAAACCCGAAACAAGCTTTATGTAGTCATGTAATAAAATAAAGGGGCTGGAATTTTACTCTATGAGCTTAGGAAAGAAGGAGTTTTTAATTATTTCTCTTTTTTTGAGATTATAACATAATTACATCATTTTCCCTTCCCTTTCTTTCCTCCAAACCCTCCCATATGCCCTTCCTTTCTCTCTTTCTCTCTTTCAAATGCATGGCTTCCTCTCTCTCCTCTCTCTCTCTCTCTCTCTCTCTCTCTCCTCTCTCTCTCTCTCTCTCTCTGTGTGTGTGTGTGTGTGTGTGTGTGTGTGTGTGTGTGTGTGGCAACTCAGACCTTTCTGTCCCATGCAAGTCTCGCAGTAAAGAAGGGAGAATTCAGAAACTCTCTTGCCTTTCTAAAGCTTTCATCAGGATCATATCAGTGAAAATTCCTTCGAACAAATACATGTTGTTTTTATCCATCTTAAATCTTTTAAAAAATAAGAGTATAAAGTGTCCAAATAACTCTTTATCCTTAACCATTTTATAAAATAATCTTCATTAAAAACATTTAGATGGCTTTGTCTTTGATAATAACTGGATTAGCTTTTGATATACCTTAAAAATATATTGATAATAACTGTGATTTGGTTTTACATATATACTTTTTTCATTGAATTTTTCAAGGCATTTTTCATAAAGCAACAGTATAATATGATAGTATTTGTTAATTCTTCTATTTCACAAACTTTTTTTTTTTTGTAATTTGGGCACAGATCTAGAGACTGGAATCACAGAAACAGGTTAGGGAGACACCTAAACATCAGTGGATATCTGCTTTGTGAAGACAAATGTGTTAGACAATCAGTCTAATAAGACAGGAGAAAGCCCGAACTGACAGAAAGAAAGTGCCTAGGAGACTAAGGCAGAAGGCAAAGGCTGAATTGCGTCCTTCAAGTTGAAAGGGAATGGAAAGAATCCCAAGCAGAGAAGCAGTGTGTTAGGAAGGATGCAGGCCAAGATGACAGTGTGGCCCCGCTGTGGCCGGCAGACATGGAAGAAATGCTGAAGACTCAGCAGCCTAGCAAACCACAAAGGTGCCTATCCTATTCAGCTGGCAACAAGAGCCCATGGTGCTCTCAGACACCAGCTCCGATGACTAGGTAGTTTGATGAAGTGTTTTTTTGGAAGAATCTCAGAGAAGTGCTGAGAGGACCAAGACTAAAAGCTGATTCAACCAATCAAGTAAAAGATGATCAAATCCCAAACTCAATAAGGTGCTGAGAGAATGGGAGAAATGGCTTAACTCAGAGAGATTGTTTGAGAAATCAGTCAATGGTGTTTGGATCTCCTATAGCCAACTGGTGAATAAAAGATGAAGACTCAAGAAATTCTGAGTGGTTTCTATTTTGGGGATTGGAGTTAGTAGGGACTCTTTGAGGCTGGTGCAGTATTTTGATGCAATGATAAAGGCTGTGGTTGGGAAAAGAGGAAATAAGTGTGTTTAGTTAGAGGGAATCCCTGGTGAGGTAGTGGAGAATCATAAAGGGTAACAAGTAGGCAAGATACCCAAGCCTCTGCACTATACACTGGGCTTCCTGTGGGCCTTGGGGCTGTGGGAACCACTGAACTAACCTTCCTAGCCTCCTCCAGTGTTCTTTTATCACAATACATGTGCACATGGGCACATGTGGGTATTCGTGTGTCCTTCTCAACACCATCTAGATAGCTTGGTGACTTTTTAGCAGTCTCAGAGATACACTGAGGGGAATGAGACTTCTGCTGTGAGTACTACAAAGTACCTATGTAATATAAAATTATAATTTGACTAACTTAGGAACTCCTAAAACAGCCTTCTTTTCTTCTCATTCCCTCACCTGAAGATGTTACATAAGATTCACTGGAATGGTAGGCTTCTGAAGACCAACTTTAATTATGATCAATTACTATTATGTATTAAATAGATAAGAGGATCAAAAGCATAGCTCTGTAGTCAGAGAAGAAAACTGGGAGAAGAGTGATGCTCAGAGACATACAGTGAGGCCTGAGAGACCCAAGTGTGGCTGACATTAGGAAGAAGATCTCTGAAGGTCAGGTAGAATTACCCTGCCAAATAGGCCCATGGATGTTGAATGCACATTTCCACATTGAACACTATGTCAGCTTCTAAAGTCTCCATTTTTATATATTTTTTTTTTTTTTTGATTTTTCGAGACAGGGTTTCTCTGTGTAGCTTTGCGCCTTTCCTGGAACTCACTCTGTAGACCAGGCTGGCCTTGAACTCACAGAGATCCGCCTGCCTCTGCCTCCCGAGTGCTGGGATTAAAGGCGTGCGCCACCACTGCCCGGCCTAAAGTCTCCATTTTTAGCTCACACAAATCACCACCAAGTTGGACTATTATATCATGTGAAAGTACTCAGTGTGTTTACTCTGTGTTTCCTAATTTCATATCTTCTTCCTTCATTTTCCCCAAACCTTCTCAGAGTGCCTACCGGGTATTTACAAGTAGCACTTGCTTGAAGCATATGATCTTGAAAGTCCGAAGAGATGCTCGCAATTTTGAACGCTACCAGCATAACCGGGACCTGGTGAATTTCATCAACATGTTTGCAGACACAAGACTGGAACTGCCTCGGGGTTGGGAGATCAAAACTGATCATCAGGGAAAGGTGAGAATAATCAATGTGTGGGGCTTTCACCAAATGCTCTGGTTTACCAATGCAGATGTGGAAGAAAATGAAAGATTATGGAGAAGGAAGCTTATGTATCTCAGAGATGTAATATTGGCCCCAGGGAAGAAAGAAGGTAGTGGCTGTCCACATCCGGTTTCTTACTCATTCCACGTGCATGAACACTGCATTATGAGATATTTAGCTTCTTAGCTTCTTCCTTAGAGAAGTCAAATTGTGCCATTGCTGTCAAAGGGAATAACATACTGCTTGGTTGAGGAATGCTATCCACTTTACATCTTTAAATTTTCCACTAAGTACTTTTGTTCAATGGCCTATGTCTTAGTTACTTTACTATGACCAAGACAACTTATAGAAAGAAGGTGTTTAATGTGGGGCTTATGGTTTCAGAGGATTAGAGCCCAGGATTATCATGGCAGGAAACATGGTAGCATGGTGCTGAAGCAGTAGTTGCAAGTTCACATCCTGAAATAAGATAAACACTGGGAATTGCATAAGTCTTTTGAAACCTCAAAGCCCACCCCCAATAACACACCTCCTCCAACAAGGCCACACTTCCTAATACTTCTGTCCTTGTCACTGTTCTACCGCTGTGAAGACACCATGACCAAGGCAACTCATATAAAGGGAAGCATTTAATTGATGGCTTGTTTACACTTTAAGGGTCTTAGTCTATTATCATCATAGTGGGGAGCATTGCAGCGGGAAGCATGGAGGCAGGCAGGCAGGCAAGTGCTGGAGAAGTAGCTAAAAGTTATATCCTGATCTGAGAGAGAGACACTGGGTTTGGCATGGGCTTTTGAAACCTCAAAGCCCACCCCCAGTGACACACTTTCTCCAACAAGGCCACACCTACTCCAACAAGACAATACCTCCTAGTCCTCCTAATCCTTCCGTGGATCCAGACATAGAACTCTCAGCTACCTCTCCAGCCCCATATCTCCCTGCCCACCACCATGCATATCAAGTTGCAGTAAGACTAGGCACCTCCTCTCCTATTAAGGCTCGACAAAGCAACTCAGTAGTAAAACAAAACACAACAAAACCTTGGAATACAATGAAAGCAGTCCTGTGAGGGAAATTTATAGCTCTACATGCCTACATTAAAAAGTCAGAAAGAGCACAAATAAACAACTTAATGATACAACTAAAAAAAAAAATAGAAAAACAAGAACAAACCAGACCCAAACACAGTCAACTATAAAAACTAATAAAATCAGAGCACATATTAATGAAAAAGAAACAAAGAAAACAGGATAAAGGATCAATGAATATGAGAAATGGTTCTTTGAGAAGATAAACAAGATGGACAGACTCTAGACCCAACTAACTGGAAGAAAGAGAGGACCCAATTTAACAGAACCAGAAATTATCAAGGAAGCATTACAGCAGACACTAAGAAATTCAGAAATTAAGCCGGACGGTGGTGGCGCACGCCTTTAATGCCAGCACTTCGGAGGCAGAGGCAGGCGGATCTCTGTGAGTTCGAGGCCAGCCTGGTCTACAGAGCAAGAGCCAGGAAAGGCACAAAGCTATACAGAGAAACCCTGTCTCGAAAAAACAAAAAAAAAAAAAAAAAAAAAAAAAGAAAGAAATTCAGAAATTAGAAATCCAAGAATAAACCAAGCCCCAAAGCAGGGGACCAGAAAAAATAATTAAAACCAGGGCAGAAATTAAAAACAAACAAGAAATTACAGAGAAGCAATGGAAGGAAGAGTAAGAACTTGGAAAAGATAAACAAACTGACAAACCCTCAGCCAAATTGCCCAAGAGAAAGTGAGCTTAACAGGTACCAATGAAATTCATAAAAATCGTAAGTATACTCTAAAAACCTATACGCCACTAAAATGGAAAATCTGAACTCAATGGATGACTTTCTAGATGCATGTAACATGCAAAAACCAAGGTGGAATAAGAAGTTTAAAAATCTATAACTAACAATGAGATTGAAAAATTAGTAAAAAAGAAAAAACAGGCTCTTATCTACAAAAAGTCTACCGGAAAACTTTTTATTTGACTTTTCATAGGGCTCTTCAAAAGGCTTATTTAAAGCTGGGCGGTGGTGGTGCACACCTTTAATCCCAGCACTCAGGAGGCAGAGGTAGGTGGATCTCTGTGAGCTCGAGGCCAGCCTGTGTAGACAAATTTCTAAATGGTTTTATTAAATAAAAAACACAGAGCCAAATATAGAGGTGAAAGCCACCCCACAAACCTTACCTCACCAGCTCTGCAGCTTCCAAATGCAAATGCAAAGCTGTCTACTTTCTGTCTACCCATGCCTTTATATGCTTTGCTTTTCTGCCCTCTCCATGGCTCTTAGCCCAGCTACTTCACTTCCTTGTCACTGTCTGTCTGTACAGACCTCCAGGTCTCTATGGTTGGTACAGGGATTAAAGGCATGTGTTACCATGCTTGGCTCTGTTCCCTAGTACGACCTTAAACACACGGAGACCCTGCCTGCTAAGTGATCAGATTAAGGGCGTGTGCTGCCTGACTTTGTTTCCTTAAAATGGCTAGCCTTTTCCCCCAATCTCCAGGCAAGCTTATTTATCAAAGCACAAATAAAATAGCACCACATTTCAGCACAAATAAAATATCATCACAAGCCTGGGCTACAGAGTAAGTTCCAGGAAAGGCACCAAAAGTACACAGAGAAACCCTGTCTTGAAAAACCAAAAACAAAAAAGAAAAGGCTTATTTAAAATTGTGTCTAATAATTGAATACAAAATACTTTACTTCTACCATATGACAGCTAATAATATCAAAAACTAAAATTGACTGAAGTCATCTTATCCTAGTATGTCTTCCCCAAAATTATATTTTGTTATAAGTAGAATGCTTGAAAGATTGTCCAATATATTTTGTTATAAGTAGAATGTTTGAAAGATTGTCCAATAGTACTAAAAATTTTCTTGTAAATGATTAACTTTCTCTTTTACAATATATAACTTTAAATTTAAAAATAACTTTTAACATAGAACACAAGCAGTAATCAGACGTGCCTCAAAGATGTATGTGCAAGAATATATATTGGTTCATGATTTCAAGAGTGAAGTAAAAACATCTAGCAATGAAGGTGACTTACTTATCATACAGCCATCAAATACCATGTGCTTATTAAATTTTGTGTTACAAGATTTTTAATGACTTGGAGAAATGCTCACAAAATTTGAAATTTTCTTATAATGAGAGTATGGCTTCTACTGTGTAGAGAACACGTAGACGTTTGTATATGGCCACGGGAAAAAGAAAAATCTAGGTGAAAACTCAAAACTATTTTTGTAGTTACATCTTTAAAACCGTGATCATTGGAGATTTTGGTTATTCTCTTCACTTAACTACTGTTGAATGTCCATGTCTTTTTCTTCATCTAAATAGATGAGTGTTGGGTAGACCTGAAATGATATAGAAGAGTAAGGGTCAAAAGTAAGTATGATGACTATGATGGCCAGTGTTAATTGTCATCTTGACAGAATCTAGAAGCACCTGAGAGATAGCCTTTGGACATGTCTGCAGGATTTTCTTGATTACATTAATTGAGGTGGGAAGAACCACCCCCTGGTATGACACTATTCCCTGCTGAGATCCTGAACTATATGGATGGAGATGGGGAGCTGAGGAGCAGCATGGATTCATTTACCTTCTGGTTCCTGGTTGTGGATGCAGTATGACCAGCCGCTTCAAGCTCCTACTGCCTTGACTTCCCCATCATGATCAACCATATCCTCTAATCGTCAGCCAGGATAAACCCTTTCTCCCTTAAATTGCTTCTGTCCAAGTATTTTATCACAGCCATGGGAAACAAAACTAAGAAAATGAGTCTTATACGAGCTTTAGCGTATCAGCTTCCATCTCTAACAGTGCATTATCTTACTGTCCACCTGCAGTCTTTCTTTGTGGACCACAACAGTCGAGCTACCACTTTCATTGATCCCCGAATCCCTCTTCAGAATGGCCGCCTTCCCAGTCATCTGACCCATCGACAGCACCTCCAAAGGCTCCGGAGTTACAGTGCTGGAGAGGTATGCTCCCTATGCCCTGAATCATTGTGCCCAAGTCTTTGCTCTTCTCTGGGGCCAGAAAAAAAAATTAATTTCTTAGTTTTCATGATCTAGGGTTGTCTGTCCCATGAGAGATGAAGGCATATGCATATTTTTGCAATGGAAAAATGAGTGATCATTGTGGGGCACCTATGTAGTTACCTAGATATGTCTCGGGCTGCCTCCTTCTGTTCCTTCCTTTGTCCAAATCACCATTAACTTATGTCAAGATCTCTCTCTCTCTCTCTCTCTCTCTATATATATATATATATATATATATATATATATATGTAATCAAGAGAATCCTATTGCCAACCAGTTATCTGAAAATGCTACTAAAAGGGCAAAATTCTGATATTCAGTACATGACTGATTTAGAATTTTACCTTTCCATAATATCCTGGAGAGAACTTCAATACAATCATGAACTAAGAATTGAGAGGGCAAAGAAAAGGAAAAAAACAAGAGGGAACCAGGCCCTAATATTAGTACTCTGCCCCATCCTATAGCCTCTTCCCTGGCTTTATCTTCTTTTACCACTTACGATTACTTCCTGCTGAACAATGAAAGGCTACTGCCTTTTTGAAGGACCATACTCATTACCTTTCTAAACTAGACCATGTATCCCATACCAGCTCCTTTCTCCTTTTCTCAAGCCAAGAATCAAAGCATTGCTCTTTTCTACTTCCAATCCATTCTGAATAGTGTTATAGGAAATCCTCCTTTCATTTCTGACTGGCAACTGTAAGGATCTGAGACCTCTTTTCATAGAAACACCAGGATCTCAGTAGATGTGGCCCTGAGATCAATTTTCCTGTGGAAACTTAGGGAAGTGAATTACAATGAGGTAAAACATGAGAACAGCCTACAAGAAGGATCTCTCTACCTGTCTATTCTACAGAACTTCACTCTGGGTAGACCTTCCATGAACATCTAATGAGAAACTGGAGAGATAGTAACCCACCTAACAGCCACCCTCCAGAATGTTGATTTAGAAGAACAGCCATTGGCTGCTTTCTTGGGAAAAGGGTCTCATGGGCTCTGAGAAATACAATTGTTTCCTCCCAAGGGAACTCATGGCTTAATGCCATTGTGACAAAATGAACTTGTCTTTTGTGAAACTTCTTGGATGTTACTGTTTTAGGAAACTGCTGAAGGCATGTTACATCTTTCTTTCTTCCTACACATAAAATGAGCATGTGGTTACATGAAGAAGAATGTTATATATCTCCAAACCTTATGCACATAGATGTCAAGACCATTAAGATTCAGACATATTCTCAGACTACAGAAAGCAATATCCCAGCTTCCTAACTCACTGTGTACAGCATCCCTCCCTGGTAGCACTTTAATAACATTTCAAAGGGTAAAGTTTGTATTTTCTTAAGATTCTAGAGGATAAATTCAAAGTTCTGTATCAACTTGAACTATTCCATTTTAATTTCTTAAAATACCCAATGTTTTTAATATTATTGAGGCCAGGTCTGTATTAATATAGAGTTACTGAATGTAGTAAGAAAACTGGGTCCTACAGACAAATTTACTAAAGACATAGATCTCTTACAATTGCAAGTGATTATCTGAAAATGTAAATATTAAAAATGTTTGCAGGCCAATAAGATGGACTTAGCAAGAGATGAAGCACTTGGCCTCAGGTCTGATAACTGAGCTTGACCCCACAAAGTGGTAAGAGAGAACTGGCTCAGGAGAATTGTCCTCTGAGCCATATGTGCATTGTGGCATGTGCCTATGTACACACACATGCACCTACATATGCACACACACACACATACACATGCTCACACACAAAAATAAGTAGATGAGCAAATTTTTTTTTCAAACCTCTTCTATTCTAAAAGAAAGATTGTGGCCAAGGGTACCACTTGCATTACTTGTAAAATATATTGATAAGTCAGAATAGCTCCAAAGCAGTTCATTTAATAACATTATTAGTGGCAAGCTGTCATCTTCATCAGCCAAAAATTAGCTGAAGGATTATCCATGGTAATAAAAGGGTGTTCACATGCACCACCCACCTTTCTGTTTCCTAATTCATCTAATCCCCGTGGACCCTATTGATCATATTTTCAAGTCCCACCCATTTATCTCCTTATCCCTTCTCTTCTGGTAGCTTTGCCTTGACACAGGAGAAATCAGGATATGTAACAGAAAGAAGCTAGGAGGCAGAGAACGGCTGATACAAGGATGGCACATTAGAAAAACCAGACTCAGCCTCTAAGGAAACAAGTACATGTCTCCTCTCACAGGAGCTCACGGTTTAGGGACCGAGAGAGGAGATTCACGTGAGTCTCCCTCGAGTGTTAGTGCTTTGGCACTGCCAGCGTGTTGTCTCGGGCTAAGTTCTGGCTCAGCATTAGAATCTCAGCGTCCTTTTCTCTCCTGTTACCTTCTTCCCTTAAGTCCCCCGGTCCCTTAACTGTAGAGGAATAGTTCCATCCAACCACTCCATCATCTAGCTCAGGTCTGTAACCATCCAGTACCAACTCTTAGCATTTCTACAGGAGAGCCTGCAGGGCCTAAGTGCTGATCGCTCTAGTTTGCTTATAGTTGGCCAAGGCATGTGCACCATCGGCCATCTGCCTTTGGAGTGGCTGAAATTCATTTGGCTCCTTAAACTTTTCAATCTGGGCTAATTTTCCCAGTAACCATGTGAGCTCAGAAGTAAGCGCCATTTTTCTCTGAAGCATACCTGTAAGAGTTAATTCACCATGGAGCCAGGAATAAGGAGGGGACCCTTTCTGTTTAAAGCCTTATTCATTTCAACATAACACACCAAGTTACAATACCTTCATTTAGAATGAGACAAAAGGGGTCTCCTGAATTCAGGTCACCAAGTTTTCTCAAGCTCAGATTTCAGATGTATCTATTTCTACAATTTCTGCAAGTCACTCATCCACACATAAATGATATTCAAGAATTCTGTCATTGGCATATATAAAACAATACATTAATGTGAACTGGAATAATTCCCTACAAGGAAAAGGCCCATATCATTTCAGTCTCAGAAAAGTTTTTACATGTTTATTAATTGATGAAGAAAATATGGGAACTAATACTGCATAACCCCTTTAGCAAAGTTCTTCCACTGCTTTGAGTTGTGTCCCTTTGCTTGAGATTGATGTGTGCTGCTACAGCACCAGCTTTGAAGGCTGATTTCTAACCACACCAGCTGAGAAAAGTTGAGTGCAAAGTGAAAAGTCCACTTTGTGGCACAGAATCTAATTCCTTGTCTCTCAAGTAAGCTAAAGGCAATGGGAAGGACCAGAAGGGGAAAAGGTGATGGATTCACAGCCTGACTAGAAGAGAAGCCAAGAGAGCTGTGGTCACATAGTGAACTGGCAACACTCTGTATACCAGGGCTATATTGTTTATGTCACTAAAGAGTATGGAACTATGACTTAAAGTTATTCTAGCAAATGCCAGATCTTGCGGGGGAAGTGGTTCTTTTGTGACTAGATGTTTAATCTCTTTTTAAGTGTCTTGACTAAGTTCTTTTCAAAATTCATAAATATATTGAAGTTTACTTACCATGCTATTCAAATATTACACTATAGCTGATATACCTGATACAAATTCCAAAGTGGAAAATCTGTACTGTCTTAGTCTCTTTTTTCTGTTTGTTTATTTTGTTTCTTAGACAGAGTCTCACTCAGTAACCAAGACTGGTTGAGAACTAGGCTAGCCTCCAACTTCTTATCCCCTGCTTCCATTTCCAGACGTCTAGGATTATGGCCATGCACCACAATTCTGGGTTTTAAGGTCTTAAGGAACAAAATATATATGGACTCATGATAGAAAAATCATTATCATGTTTTACCTTAGAGGATTTATTAATTTTCAAAATTGACCTATGTTTCAATTAATCATCATACATGTAGATATTAAGCTAAGCAAAGATATTTTCACAGGAGATTTTGCCAGATTTTCCAACACAAATCAAGATATTGGATGAAGTCTGGTAGGGATTTGATATAAATAAACACATTACAGGCAAATATTAGTTAAAATCCCAGTTCTCTCTCACACAATTGAAAACTTCAGACAAATTTAGTTTTTATATAAACTTAGATTTTATATGTATAAAATTGTGGTAATCAAAATACAATGTAGAAAGAAACCAGAACAGTGATTGGAATGATAGATGCTAAACCACGATGGCCATTTGAGAATAGTCAACATTACCTAAGGAGCAAGTGCATCCCATGTTTGCTGTTGAGGTTCAATGCCAAATCTCTGAAAAGAAAATCATAGACTTAAGTTTCTATTAGTGATTACAGAGAATTAATTTCTCTGTTTCTGGCCAGTACATTGATTAATATCCATGACATTTGACACAATCACTTTTACAGAACATAATATAGCATACCCAACATTCCCCTTACTCAATGTTTAATACTTGCTTGGCTTTCATCACTTTAAGGATTTTAAATTTATTTCCTGAATCTAGGAGATGCCAAGATGTTTTTAACTTTTCAAGCAGGAAAAAAAAATTGTTTTAAAGGAAAATCTGTAATTAATGACAGATTTCCAATCTTCCACTTTTATTTTCAATTAGGCCTCAGAAGTCTCTAGAAACAGAGGAGCCTCTTTGCTGGCCAGGCCAGGACACAGCCTAATAGCTGCTATCCGAAGCCAACATCAACATGAATCATTGCCACTGGGTATGTATCCTCAGTCAGTGAGCCTCTAGTAACCCAATACAAAGGGCCCTACCGTGAGCCCTTTTAACAGTCCTGCATTTTCTTTCTCTCTTTTTTTTCTTTTGAGACATGTTTTTACTGTGTACATTTAACTATCCTGGCACTTACTATGTAGACTAGGCTGTCCTAAGACAAGCAAGATTCGCCTGACAATCCAGTGCATCAGCATGCCTGGCCTCTCCTCTTTCATGACACTTCCCAACTTTTGACTCTCTTTCTCCTCATTTCCATTAGTCCTCTCTTCTAGATCCTCATGCCCCTTCTTCTTCATTTTATTCAAAGTCAATTAAACCCAGAAATACAGGATTTAAGTGAAACAGTCGTTTCATTTTCTTGTTGCTATAAGTGGTTTTGCTTTGTTTTGCTTGTTTGTTTACTGTTATACTAAGAATTGAATGTAGAAGATTATATATGCTAGGCAAATACTCTATCGTTAAGCTATATCTCCATATTTTAATTTTTTGTGACACAGCCTCACTAAGTTGCTAAGTCTGGACTTCCTCTATAGCCCAGGCAGGCATTGAATCATCATGATCTCCCTGTCTTAGATGTCAGCATGGACCTTTGCCACTACCCAGCCTCATGGAGGTGTTGATTTTTAATATAGTGATTTAATTTATCTTTAAGAAGTTTATACATGTATACAACGTGTTTTGAACATCATCTACCTACCAGTCTCCACTCCAACTCCTCTCAATCCCTCCTCATGTTTAACCCTCTGTGTCCAATTAGTGCTGCCTATATACACATGGATATGGGGCCATCAGCTGGAGAATATGCAACCTACCAGAGGACACACTACTGAAAAATTTGACTCTCCCTATCCTACCAGCCATCAACTGCTAATAACTCTTCAGTTAGGGATGGGGCCTCATGAGCCCCTCCCCATACATGCTGGAATGTTGACTGGCTTGATTTTATTTGGGTCTTGTGTAGGCAACTACAGCTTCTGTGAGTTTGTAAGTCCAACGGCCCTGTCATATCCAGAAGACATTGTTTTGTCCTGTCTTCCCCAATGTCCTGACTCTTAGAATCTTTCTGCCCCATTTTCTGAGATGTATTATGATCCTTGAGTGGAGGGAGTGTGTTACAAATGTCACACTTCGGGCCGAGTGCTCCACAGTTGCCTCTTTGCATCTTGAGCAGTTATGAGTCTCTGCGGTAACCACCATCCACAGCAAAATAAAAGCTTCTCTGATGAGGAGTGGGAGCTGCACTCCTCTCTGAGTATAAATAGAAATATTAGTTGCGGGCGGTGGCGCACGCCTTTAATCCCAGCAGAGGCAGGCAGATCTCTGTGAGTTCGAGGCCAGCCTGGTCTACAGAGCGAGATCCAGGACAGGCTCCAAAACTACACAGAGAAACTCTGTCTCAAAAAAAAGAAAGAAAGAAAAAAGAAATATTAAAGAGGCAGCTTGATACTGTACCCGTTTATCAACATAATAATGGTAGGTTCTCCCCCAGGGTTATGACCTCCCCAGCTATGACCTCCCCATATTCTTCATCAGGTTTAGAATACCAGACTAGAGTTCCCTCCAAAGATCAGGTCCTAAGCCAATTTTATAAAGTGGTTGATGACCCTCTGTCATATTCATGCCACTATTGCAGCAGTGGGAATCCTTGGTTGACAGCTGGTTAAGATGGCAGCTCTGTGTACTCTAATCTATGGCTCCCTTTCCGTGGGTGTGTGAGGAAAGCTTGCACAGTCAGCATTCCCAACCTCAACTATTTAATTTCAGAACACTTGTATTAAGCAAAATGAGGTGAGAGAGTCTGAATAATGTGTGTTTTCATCCCTATGACTGGAAAATCCACACATAGTCATGGCAGCAATTGTCAAACACTCAGAAAAGGATTCCTTTGAACCCGCAAAGGATCTTTTGTCGCAGTAACTTGGGGAAAGAACCACGAAGGCTAGACTAAATACAGAAGGCCTCACAGGAGAGCTGTTCTGATCTCCATCTTCCATCTAAGTGTGGATGACATAGCGCCCTGAACACTGCCTGTGGTTCGCACATTACTGCTCAGCCTTGATCACTCTTACTTATCTTTGAAGATAATAAGGCTGTTTTGTTCTATTTTTATGCAAGTGCTTCATTTCCTTAAGAACACTTCAGATGTCTACATTATTCCCTAGGATCAAGTGGGCATTTTATAATCATCTACCTCAACCACTGTTCTGCATTTTTTCTGTTTCAGCATATAATGACAAGATTGTGGCATTTCTTCGCCAGCCAAACATTTTTGAAATGCTACAAGAACGTCAGCCAAGCTTGGCAAGAAACCACACCCTCAGGTAGGGTTCATTGCCCATCCCTAGAACATTTGATCCTTCCAGTCTTTTTCCAGGTTGAAAAACAACACTATGCAGAGGGACCCGTTGAGGCTTATGACACTTTCCATTCCTACGTAGAAGTTTTAAGTTGACTCCTGAAAAGGAAGGGTCCAGTGTTCTGGAAAATTTTTCAGAGAAGGTAGCCCAATCCTGTTACATAGTGTTAAAATTATTTCCACTGATTTGAAGGAAAACAAAAAGGGAACAACATAGTTTTCATTAAAGATTACTTATATAAAGCACTATCTAAATTACTTTTAGTTTGGAAATGTAATTGTTTAATGATAAAACAATTAGGTGACAATCTTCAAAACTAAGCAAACACAAAGTATTATGCATATGCTAACTACTTAAATCCTAGTATATGTGTCATGTTTAATATTTTTTCTTTTTGAGATTATAATATAATTACATCATTTCCCTCTTCCCTTCCCTCCCTCCAAACCCTCTAATATACCCCTTCTTGCTCTCTTTCAGACCCATGACCTTATTTTTTCATTATTTGTTGTTACATACATATATAAATATACATATATTTTCATAAATACAACCTGTTCGGCCTGTATAATGTTACTTGTATGTATCTTCAGGGCTGGTGATTTGGTATTGTATAACTAATTTCTGTGCCCTTCCCTGGGGAAGACTGTTTCTCCTGCTCTCAGCATTCCTTAGTTACCTGTAGTTCCTCGTCTAGGGTGGAGGCACTGACGTCATCCCTGTTCAGCTCATATTTAGGCAGTTACATTGATGAGACTGTGTGAGTGTGGCTTCTAACATTCCTAGGAGACAGCAAACTCCCTGTTCCATCTACTCTTCTGCAGTGATCTCTGAGCCTTAGTTGCAAAGAGTTGTGTTGTAGATGTATCATTTGGGACTGGGCTTCAAAACTCTGCATTTTGACTGGTTGTGATTTTCTGTAATAGTTTCTACCTGTTGCAAAGAGAAGTTGCTCTGATAAGAGGTGAGGACTATGCTTATCTGTGGTTATAAATACAAATATTTATAATGTAATCAGGGCTCATACTGGTTTAGTAAGGTGGCAGCTTTCGATTCTCCTCCAAAATCTGTGACTTTCTGAACCCTGAGCAGATAGCTAGGTATGTGATGACAATTAGTGAAAAAAAGAGGACGAGAATTTGAAAGGGACTAAGGAGGACTATATGAGAGGGTTTGAAATAAGACAAGGGAAGGGAAAATGATATAGTTATAATCTCAAAAATAATAGTAATAATAATAATTTTAAATTTTTGGATATGAGATCACCAAAGAGTCTTTGTGCCCCAGTAGCAATTAGCCAACCTTTCTAATAATAATAATCAACCACAAATATCACTGTATTTGTACATTGTAACTAAATATGCATTTCAGAGTTATCTATTAAAATTGTATGTTCTCTATCAAGAATTCTGTTATCTAGGTTCGAAAGGACTTAATTCGGGCATTGTCATTCTGCACAGTTGGCATTGTTAGAAGACAAGTGGGGAGTCGAGTTATTTTAGAAAAATAATCTCCTGTCTCACTAAGTGAGTAGGATGAAGAGTGAAGCATATGGCAACAACATCTTAATAAATAACACAAGATAAAAAGATAAACTAGATCACAGTCAACATTAATAGTAAAAATTAACAGTGACAGGCACACTTTACAGTACACAAATTCTGTTTGTAAACAAAAGTTCATTCCAGAAAGACGAACTCTTCCTACAGCTCACGGTCTTCCTTCTGCACAGATAGGGGAAACCCCACAGCATGGGCAGTGTCCTCTAGGTCAGTGTTTTTCAAATCTGTTCAAATGTTAATGAATCACTTGGAGCTCTTGTCAGAATGCAGATTTAGATTCATGGCTCAACTTTCAATATTTGTTTTCACTTTAAAAGTGGTGTGCTGTGGAAATAAAAAATCATAAATGTATATTTATATACCATCTAATGTGTATTATAAGTGTTTTAGGTAGATAGTTAGTAGTATTTTTCCTTATGACTTTTTCAGACATCTTACTGTCATTCTATCTTCCTTCTGTATTCATCCCCCTCCCCTTTCCTGATTAGAGTTTCCTTGTCTTTCCCATTTCCCCCATCAGATCATTTGTACCCTGTTTTTCCCCTCTCTGTTGCTGACTCTCACCTCAGGAATAATCCCTTTTCATTTTCCTGGTTTCTGCAGTTACTACAGGATATGTACTCACATCTAAAAATTTGGTGCTCGAAACCTCAAATGAGAGAGATCATGCAATATTTGTCTTTCTGGCTCTGGGTTACTTCACTCAATATGATCTTTTCTAGTTCCAACCATCTACCTGAAATTTTCATGGTTTCACTTTTCTTTGAATAGTCTTCCATAGTGCATAAGTACCACATTTTCATTATCCATTCATCAGCTAAATAACATTGGACTGTTTCCATTTTCTATCTATTGTGAATAAGCAGAAATGAACATGATTGAACAAGTACCTGAGGAGTAGGATGTCCAGCCCTTCGGGCATATACCAAGGCATAGTATAGCTGGGTCATATGATGAATTCATTTTTAGCTTTCTGAGAATTCTCCACATGATTTCCAGAGTGGGTTGGACCAGTTTACAATCCACCAACAGTGGATAAGAGTGTCCCTTTCCCCCTGGCCTCTCCATCACTTATTGTCAGTTATTTTCTTGTTCTGTGCCATTCTGACTAGGGTGAGACGAAATCTGAAAGTTTTTTTGTTTTTCATTTCCCTAATTGCTAGGATGGTGAACATTTTTTAGAGGTATTCCTTATCCTTTATCTTTATCCTATATACTATATTCTTTATCTTTATCCTATATCCCGTATCCTTTATCTTTATCCCATATTCTATATCTTTTCTATTTTGAGAATTCTTTGTTCATGTCCCAGGTCCATTTTTTAATGAGTCATTTGGTTTTTTGACTATTTAAGTTCTTTATATATTTTAATATTGATCCTCTGTAAGATATATAACTGTCAAAGTTTCTTTCTGTGGGCTTCCTCTTCATCCCATTGATTGTCCCCACATGATTTCCATCTTGTTGAGCAGATCTTAAATCCAATTACACAGCTGTTGGTTACTGCCAAGGTATGAGTGACCCATGACCTTAGGGTTATCGTGCCAAGCTGGTCCTTAGAGTTATCATGCCATGCTGGTCCTTGTGATTCATAGGCTTCATAACTGGGTAGGACTATTGGTTGCTTCCCTCCTTTGGAAGCTTTCATGGTGCTTTCTGGTACCATGAAAGCTAGCCCTCAGGGAGGAAGCTTTCAGGTCAGATCTCTCAAGGTCCTCTGGTTCCCATTTCTGAAGTATATGTGGCATCTTTAGCAATTGGGCTTACCTTTCACCTCTTCAGGGCAACCAAGGGCAGTAGCAATTGCATGTTTGGGGAGTCTCTTGGACAATCCTGACCAGGAACTCAAAAGAGGACTTCTATGCCTGGTTTGGGAGGGGGGTTGTTAGATGGTCTTTGGCTCTTGAGGGAGCATTGTCAGCCCAGAAGAGAAAATTCCCATTTAAACTATATGCATATTTATACACTGACTTACTTACATGTATTATAGGTATTTTTAGGTAGATAGTTAAGGAGATAGACTTCTGTCACTCCCTGAAAAGTATGTAGACCAGCCTGATTTATTTTCCAAACCCCAGTTAGAGAAGCCACTGTGAACATCCCCCAGGTTTTGCTTATAGCAGTTATTGCAGTGGTACTTTACCTTTACCAAGGTTGGATCCCAAAGCATGCCCTGTTCAATAACATTTTAGTAGAAACCCCTTACCTTTAAAAATCTCCTTTCTACAATAATAGTTAAAGAAAAATGTCTTCAATTTTAGAGGGAGTGGAGATGCATGGGAGTCATTAGAGGGGGAGAGTGGTGGAAATGATATAAGTACTCATATATTAATGCTGTGGGATGTTCTGTATGGCAAATGTGTTGCTGATTGGTCAATAAATAAAACACTAATTGGCCATTGGCTAGGCAGGAAGTATAGGCGGGACAAGGAGGAGAATAAAACTGGGAAGTGGCTGAGTCAGAGAGACACTGCCAGCCGCCAAGATGACAAACAGCATGTGAAGATGCCGGTAAGCCACGAGCCATGTGGCAAGGTATAGATTTATGGAAATGGATTAATTTAAGCTGTAAGAACAGTTAGCAAGAAACCTGCCACGGCCATACAGTTTGTAACTAATATAAGTCTCTGTGTTTACTTGGTCGGGTCTGAGCTGCTGTGGGACTGGCGGGTGAGAGAGATTTGTCCTGACTGTAGGCCAGGCAGAAAAACTCTAGCTACATATGAAATTCTCAAAAAAAGAAGTAAAATTGAAAGTTTTAATAAAATACCCATATTTATGGAGTCACTGTCAGAGAGAAAACAATGTTGCATTGACCGTATTCCTTACTGGAGTAAATTCAGTGAAGGGTATATAAGATCTCTTTGTATTTCTATTTTTAACTATACATGTGCCTTATTTCATATCAAAATAAAATTTTAAATTAAGAAGTTAAATATTTAAAAATTAATTAGTCCTTAAATCTTCCCCAAGTTTAACTGCAAAAGGCAAGAACTAACTCATTCAAAGCATTTATATATAGAATGGTGACTGAGAGTAGTGGGGTTGGTATTATCAGGCAAGCAAATTGAAAAGTCAATTTGAGCAAAATAAGTACTTCTTACCTATAGACTTACTTGAAATGATTTTCCAGATTAGAGTTGGAGATCAGAATGGGTAACCTGTAACTAAAGAAAGATAGATTGAGGTCTACACTTTGACTAAGCCTGAAGGCCCTTGTCATTCTAAAGCCTCGGCTCCCTCTGTTCCCAGTGTGGCATTATACATTTTTATCAGGTACAAGATTTCTCTAGAGACAGCCTCCACTTTGTCCTCTTTTGGCCTCCAATGTACCTTGAGAGGTATTTTCCCAACTCCCCATGGCCTTATTGTGTTCTTTTCTATCTCAGTCAGACTCTGACTTTGCTGTGCTCCTCAACTTCTGCCTCTGTGAGAGTCTCAGAAAAGCCACCCCTTACAAAGCATCCTGAGAATTCAGATGATCCTTGAGCACTATGAAATGCACCAGATGCTGGGGAATGCCATTAGCCACATTGCAAGAAAGGATAAAAATAAATCTAAAATTATTTATTCCCTAGCTTTTGAGTTGATAGATAATTCCCATTTTCTTTTCAACTTTGGTTCTAGGGAGAAAATCCATTATATTCGGACAGAGGGTAATCATGGGCTTGAGAAATTGTCCTGTGATGCAGATCTAGTCATTTTGCTGAGGTAAGGGGTTGGACCTGAGATCTTCTTGAAAAGCTACAGTACAGCATGGGTGGAGAGGTTGGAGAAGGGTTTGGACCCACCCTTAAAACGATGAGAATCAGTTTCTGTTTGCTGTAGAAGACCTTAGAAGTAGAGCTTCTGTCCTTGATGGACAGCCCTTGCTGTGCATCCTTGTCTCCAGATGTACAACTGCAGCATCAGGGACTGTAAAGTTCTTGATGGAGACTTCATTGTAAGGTTCATAAAGGCTTGAAGAACCAGAGAATTTGTAAGCGGGGATTCTAACTGCTCTTACTCAATCTGTGCATGCTTTCTCATGGGGCAGACAACTAACTTTCCTCTTTTTAACCTTTACAGTCTCTTTGAAGAAGAGATCATGTCCTATGTCCCCCTCCAATCTGCCTTCCACCCTGGGTATAGCTTCTCTCCCCGCTGTTCACCCTGTTCCTCACCCCAGAACTCCCCAGGTAACTTGAAATTCTGGCCTGGTCTTACCTAAGTGGTCATGTGTGTTTTCACCCACTGAAAGGGAATTTATGACAGGTGTGTGTGTGTGTGTGTGTGTGTGTGTGTGTGTGTGTGTGTGTCTGTGTTCTCTCTTCATCCCTTTCAATTTCTAATCAAAAGTGTACTCTAAATCAGGTATTGACAAACTGCTGCCTGTTTTTATAATTTCTCCAAGCTACACTGGGACTTGTTTATGTTTCTAAATGATTGAGAAAGAAAATGAGATCGAGCTGAATTTGCTAGCCCAAGCTAGCCTCAAACTCATGGCTATCTTGATCTAGTCTCCCAGATACTGAGATTACAGGGGTGTTCCATCATGCCCAATTGAAGCACTAAAACCAAACCTCAGTGTTTCTAAGTAATGATTCTAGGAATCTTCCCATGCTTGTTCATATTTGCGTTTTCTGTGGAAGCTTTCATACCTACCGCAGCAGAGATGAGCAATACTAGCAAAAACTGTGTGGCCTGAAAAGCCTAAAATATTTACTCTTTGTCCCTTAATAGAGGTGGGTCCCCACCTGGTCATTGCATCCTAATGGCTATTCCAAGTATTTCAAACGCCTTTATTACGGGTGAAAGAAAATTTACACAGTAATTATGTGAACATCCCTGTTTATTTTAACATAAAGAATTAAATGTTAACTATCTGATATTGTGAGTTATACGGTGTCTTCAACGTTTTTCAGAGTTGCCTAATATTTTGATCATATAACTGTCCCTTCTAAGAATGTTGCTTTATACAAACACATATCACAGAAGACTATTTATGGCTATAAGACTATTATGACTGTTTGAAATTCTGTTCTAACCCTAAACCCATATTTGTTGAATGATTTTTTTTGATGAAACTCAAGGAAGGCTTTTTAAAATCAAGTGTTGTAAGCCAACCCAAAGACATATCAATTTGATATTTATATGCTGAGGAATGGCTGCAGGAAAAAAACTATTTTCTGTAGTTGAATCCTTATTTCTTTAAGAATAAAAAAAAAACCTTTGTACTTACAGCCATAACACTGTAATTCATGGCATACAACAGTGTCCCATCTACGCTGAGGTGTTGAGGCAGAGTTCACTGGCATCACACACCGTGACAAAGTGCCAAGTGTGCATGTGGCGTGTTCAAACCAAGGCTGCAGGGAGGTTCTCTGAAGGACAGGAGAGAACTGCAAGGCGTGCTGAGGATTTATTTGAATTAACTTTTTATTGTTGTGTGTTCAGAAAATTCTTCCACAGCTTCCACATTCAGTTACACAGTTTATGAAATACTGATCTAATAAAAGACCCTAAATGCTTGAGTCCTAGTGTGTATAAGCATGTTTCTTTTCTTTCAGCATCAGTGTCAATGCAGAAGCATGGAATATACACACACTAAGAGCCTCTTGCCTCATGCTACCTTCAGTCTTTTCTTGTGGCAGCTTACAAGAAAACTTTTGTCTAGTTCATTTTATGTTAATACTCTCAAATTACCCAAGTACTAAGCAAGTCAAGGTGATTCCCATAGAGGTGCTTTTAACAGAAATACAACTTAAATAATTTAAGTGGAAGATACAAACATTCCCATCAGAATCTACTTTTTATTTTTATTATTTTACTTCAGTTTAATATAAAAGTAACTGAGAGTGGTGGCAATGAAAGTAACTTCTTAGGCGCCCACAAAGGCAAGGAACATGCTTCAGTGGGTATTTGCTCTACTGTAACTCTGCACACTCGTTCTTGGATGAAGTGATGATGTGAACTGCCTGTTTCTCTCTACAGGTTTACAGAGAGCCAGCGCAAGAGCCCCTTCACCATACCGAAGGGATTTTGAAGCTAAGCTACGCAATTTCTACCGAAAACTGGAAGCCAAAGGATTTGGTCAGGGTCCGGGTAAAATTAAGTGAGTACCTAGTATGTGGCCCTAAATTAAAGGAGTAGCCTTTCTTCTCTATTCACTTTTTGCATCATTGAATATTGGACATGCTAATATGGTAACACTCATGGCCTGAAAGAGATGAATAGGAAAATTAGGAAGTTAGAAGAGAAAAAGAAAAATGTTCAAGTAATTGGAAGAAAGAGAAAGGAAGGAAGGAAAGGGGAGGAAAAAGAAAAAACTGTAAATTTAAGACAGAGGTACACGGCATCAACAATAGACCTCTTCAGAAAACAAAGACCCTTGAACTAAGCCAAAATCCTCTATTTCCATTCATGTAAGAGTAATCAAGCTGGGCAGTGGTGGTCCATGCCTTAAATCTCAACACTCAGGAGTCAGAGGCAGGCAGATCTCTGTGAGTTCGAGGACAGCCTGGTCTACAGAGTGAGTTCCAGGAATGTTATATAGAGAAACTCTGTCTCGGAAAAAAAAAATGAGTAACTGAGGCAAATTTTAATTCATTTCTCAGATTTGTGGACTCTTAGCAACTTTGCAATGAAGTCCAAGTAGAAGAGATGTTACCTGACCCCTAGGTTTATTATTTTAGTTGAAAAGCTGAGCTCAAACTTAAAATCCTAATTGAAGATACCTCCTAACCTAAGAGACATGATACCAGTCGACAGAAAACAATTCCAAATACAGTTGGGCTAGGTGTGTGTTTTGTCCTATAGGTATTTGATGACTGAAAGGGGAAAAAGTTTAAAGACAACTACCATAGGAGTTCATTCATCGACATTTAGTTAAAAAATACCCCAAACCAGGGCATGTGTCAGCAATTTGAATATATCAAGCCTAGTACCACACTGATAGAACCTCTCTTGTCCTCTCCTCTCTCATCAGAGAAGCCAATGAGTGAAGCATAATATTGAGCACTAATGACTCACATACAACTGTGCTCAGCACCCTGACTTCAATGCTTCCATTCACCATCACCTTTTCTTCTCAGGCTCATTATCCGCCGGGACCACTTGCTGGAGGGGACCTTCAATCAGGTGATGGCATACTCCCGGAAGGAGCTCCAGAGAAACAAGCTCTACATCACCTTTGTTGGCGAGGAGGGGTGAGGCACCAGGAGCTTCATTCAGATAGATCAATGTGGGGAAATCAAATCCCAGGAATGAGGGGTTATTTTTCTCAAGGAAGAATAGAGTGGCTACAAACATTGGTCTAAAGTGACTCAGAGCATATCTTATCAGTAAGCTTTTCTCTCCCCGGGAATTCTCAAGCCTTGTTCTTTAAAGAAAAAAAGAAAAAAAGAAAGAAAAAAGCGTGAGTTATTGGCATGTCCCAGAGTCTGAGATCCTATGTCCAAAGTATAATATAAATTAAAATCCTGGCCGGGCGGTGGTGGCGCACGCCTTTAATCCCAGCACTTGGGAGGCAGAGCCAGGCGGATCTCCGTGAGTTCGAGGCCAGCCTGGGCTACCAAGTGAGTCCCAGGAAAGGCGCAAAGCTACACAGAGAAACCCTGTCTCGAAAAACCAAAAAAAAAAAAAAAAAAAAAAAAAAAAAAAAAAAATCCTGAAACACTGGACATTTACTTTGTAGGTGTTGTAAATTCCTGAGGTGAGGGAACCTCTTTCTTCCAAAATGCATATATCAAATTATATACCAAAGTTTTTGTGTGCTTATGACTTCATGAATCACCTAAGCATGTAATGTAACTACCTAAAAGGCAAATGAAAATGTACTTGTAAGCTTGTATGCATATATACATACATACAAACTTACACACAACACACACGTGCACAAATATACATACTTTGGTAGGAAATTTTTCTTATGTTCCCACAATAAGGCCTTGTTTGTAATGGGCTAGGTGTGTGTTTTGTCCTATAGATATTTGATGACTGAAAGGGGAAAAGTTTAAAGACAACTACCATAGGAGTTCATTCATAGACATTTAGTTAAAAATACCCCAAACCATGGCTAGGTGGTAGTGGCCCACACCTTCAATACCAGCACTTGGGAGGCAGTGACAGGTGAATCTCTGTGAGTCTGAGGCCAGCCTGGTCTACAGAGTGAGTTCCAGGACAGTCAGGGCTATGCAGAGAAACTCTATCTTGAAAAGCAAACAAATAAACAAACAAAAAACAATTACTACACCTTCATTTTCTACTATAAACGAATACTTCCACTTGGAGTTCACTAGAAAGAGGAGAGACTGCCCTCTGTTCTCAGACCCCACACCTGAGAGACCTCACTAGGATCTGGATAAGAAACTATCACAAAAGCGAACTTCCTGGACCTGTGTTTCCTTTGCAGCCTGGACTACAGTGGCCCTTCTCGAGAATTCTTCTTCCTTTTGTCTCAGGAGCTCTTCAACCCTTACTATGGACTCTTTGAGTATTCTGCAAATGACACGTACACAGTGCAGATCAGCCCCATGTCTGCGTTTGTAGAAAACTATCTTGAATGGTAAGTTAGTCTCTAATTTTCACTTTCTTGTCTTCAAAAACTGTTATCCTTTTTTTAGTCAAAGTCAGCAGCATTTCTCTCAAGTAACTGCATTTGGAGCAGTGAGCCAGGAATAGTTGGATCGTAAGAGTAGATAACAGAACCACAGAAGCCAGAATGTAAGATAAATCACCAAAGACATTGAGGTTATAACAACTGTCAAGTGGTATAAGATAGAATAATTGCCTAGATAAATACTCCTAGAAGACATAGATTACAAAAATTGAGAATATCACTGGAATCACAAATGGGCCACTGAATGCTTCTCAGAGCTATACATGGTTTTAAAATTCTCTTACCTTGAACCAGTATGCCTTTAGCATTGGATTTGTATTTTAAGGTAAATAAATTCCCTGGGTCAGATGACCTCTATGCAGCCTTCTGATTTGAATATTCAGTGTTGCTTTCATTGGCTTCTAATAAGGAATTCTATTACCAACTATGGATATGTGTGTGAAGCTCTGTGGACTCAGTACCTCACATGCTGTGGTTGAAGCCTCCAGAAATCCACATTGGAACTCTTAGTCACAGTTTCCGGCTGTATCACCCCAGGCCTAATTTGATTTCCCCTCCCCCAGCTCCTCTGAGATCCTGCCCACCTCCCTTCCCATCCAAATCCACACTCTTCTTGTCTCTCATTAGAAAACAGACACCTAAAGAATTACAATAATATAAGATAAAACAAGAACAAACAAACCAGAATAAGGCAAGACAAACAAACAGAAGAAAAAGAGCAAAGAAAAAGCACAAAAACACGTAGATGCAGAGACACATATTCATATACACAGGAATCCCATAAAAACACAAAACCAAAAGGTATAATATATATGCAAAGGACCTGTAAGGTTAAAAAAAGAAAGGAAAAAAATGCCCTCGCAAAACATTATAAGACAAAGAGCCTCCAAAGATAACGTTGAGTTCATTTTGTGTTAGCCATCTACTGCTGGTCATGGGTTCTTCCCTTAAGAGTGGTTTGAATCCTCTGTGAGACTCCACTGGAGAGAAACAACGTTTGATTTCTGAATGGTTATCAATTGGAGCAAGCTTCTGCATTACGGATGTGGGCTTGTGTCCACTTCTTCTCACGGCACTAGGATCCCATCTGGCGCAGACCCATGCAGGTCCTGTGCATGCTGCCACAATCTCTGTGAGTTTCTACGTGCTTCAGCCCTGCTGTGCTTAGAGGGCTGTGTTTCATTGGTGTTCTTACAATCTTCTACCTCCTCTTCCGCAGTGGTCCCTGAAATCTGGAGGGGGGCATTTGATGGAGACATTCCATTTAGAACTGCATGTCTCAAGAGCTCTCATTCTCTAAACATTGTCTAGCTATGAGCCTCTGTATTTGTTCCTATCTACTAAAGGGCAAAGCATCTCTGATGATAGGTGAACAAGCCACTGGTCTATAAGCATAGCAGAATGTTGTTAAGAGACATGTTGTGGCTATGTTCAATCATCAGGCAACCCAGGCTATTGCCAAGGCTGTTGGTTGCTCTCCACACACGAACAGTAAAGTTCTATTGCTGAAGATAGCACCTACATAGCTCATTGAACATGGAAAAGTCAAGCTGGTGCTACCCAAAGCCTTCACCCCTATGGACTAGTGTTCATGGTGCTGGAAGATTCTCTGCATGCTGCCAAAGATGAGAGGTAAACACCAACCCAGGTACAAAACCCTTAGATCTATAGTAATGATCTGCCTGCAAGATGTACTAGGGCAATAGTGGCACAGTACTTGTAGGAGTAACCAACCAATATCTGATTGGATTTAAGGCCCACTCCATGATATAAAACCCATACCTGACACTGCTCAAGTGCCCATAAAATATATTTTGATCATGTCAGGCATGGGTTCCAGCACATGGAGTGGGTCTTAAATACAATCAAAAAGTGGTTATTTACCCCCATAACATTTGCACTATTATCACATCAATATATATTGCAGGCAGATTGCTTTTGTAGATCTCAGGGTTTGTAGCTGCATGATACTAATGATTAATTTTATCCTCTGGCAGCATGCAAAACAAGTTCCAGTACCAGGAACACTAGTCAATAGGGGTGAAGCTTCTAGCCCAAAATCTCCATATTCAATGACATAAGTAAGTAGTGTCTCCAACAATAGGTTCTTACCATCAGGTTGTGGAGGGTAACTAATAACCTTGACAATATCCTGTGATGTCTGTCAGGGGTTGTAGGACCCATTTGGCCAATGACTCACCAGGATGTAACTTATTCCTAGCACTGGAGGTTTTACTTAGTGGCATGAGATGTCGATGGGGGGCATTTTCTCCCCTATTATATAATGACTTCACATAAATTACTTTCAGGTGTGTATATATTTTAGAAAGTTTCTGCAATAGTAGGTTTCAATATAGCTTGTCTAAAGGCCTTACTGTCAGTTGTTCCTCCCCATATTCTCTCCTTTTTATTGTCCTCCTGCCACCCTCCACCTTTAATCCTGCTAGTCTAGTTTCCTCTCTGTCGCTTTGTAACATTATATTCTATTTCCCCTTCCTCGGAAAATCCCCACTTACTCCCTGACCCCTTACTAGCTACATAACTTCTGGGATAATTCTAAATGAAACACACATATCTAAAACTTAAGAGGGAATGAAGGGCGAGGGTCGAGGGAAAGAGAGTTTGGGGGAGCGGGAGATCCCAGCTGGATCAAGAACAGAGAGGGAGAACAAGGAATAGGAGACCATGGTAAATGAAGATCACATGAGACTAGGAAGAAGCAAAGTGCTAGAGAGGCCCACAGAAATCCACAAAGATGCCCCCACAATAGACTGCTGGCAGTGGTCGAGAGACAGCCAGAACTGACCTACTCTGGTGATGGGATGGCCAAACACCCTAATTGTCGTGCTAGAAACCCCATCCAACGACTGAGGGATCTGGATGCAGAGATCCACGGCTAGGCCCCAGGTGGAGCTCCGGGAGTCCAGTTGGCGAGAAAGAGGAGGGTTTATATGAGTGAGAATTGTTGAGACCAAGGTTGGATAAAGCACAGGGACAAATAGCCAAACAAATGGAAACATATGAACCAATGGCTGAGGGGCCCCTAACTGGATCAGGCCCTCTGAATAGGTGAGACAATTGATTGGCTTGATCTGTTTGGGAGGCATCCAGGCAGTGGGACCAGGTCCTGTGCTCATTGCATGAGTTGGCTGTTTGAAACCTGGGGCTTATGCAGGGACTCTTGACTTAGCCTGGGAGGAGGGGACTGGACCTGCCTGGACTGAGTCTACCAGGTTGATCTCAATCCTCGGGGGAGTCTTTGCCCTGGAGGAGAAGGGAATGGGGGTGGGCTGGGGGGAAGGTGAGGGGGTCGGGAGTGGGGAGAACAAGGGAATCCGTGGCTGATATGTAAAATTAAATTATATTGTAAAACAAAATTAAATTTAAAAAATTAAGAGGGAAAAAAATGAAATATTTGTCTTTTTGGGTTTGGGTTCCCTTACCCAGGATGTCTGTTTCTAGTTCCAATTATTTACTGAAAAAATTCATTTTTTATATCCTTTTATTTTGATCTTTCACTTTTTTTTTTTTTTTTTTTTTTTTTTTTTTTTTTTTTTTTGGTTTTTCGAGACAGGGTTTCTCTGTGTAGCTTTGCGCCTCTCCTGGAACTCGCTTGGTAGCCCAGGCTGACCTCGAACTCACAGAGATCCGCCTGGCTCTGCCTCCCGAGTGCTGGGATTAAAGGCGTGCGCCACCACCGCCCGGCTGATCTTTCACTTTTTAAATTGAAATAGAATATCACATTTCCTCTCTCTTTCCTCCCTCTAGTCCCTCCCAGTTAAACTCCCCTAAACCTCTCCCATGCCCCAACATCCTCAAGTTGATAGTCTTTTTTCTTCCATTATTATTTTTACCCATGTATGTACGTGTATGCACAAATACATATCAATACAACCTGCTGAGTCCATTTTTGCTGTTTGTGTATAAATAGTTTCAGGCTGACCACTATGCATTTGTCAACCAATAAAGAAGATCATCCCTAAGAGAAGCTAATTCTTTAGTTCTTTGTCTAAAGATGGAATCCCATGAAATTTTTGCCTTTCCATATTAACATGTTCATTGATATTATCATTGTTCTGGTTTTGTTTATGCAGTCATTTCTAGGAGAGATTGTTTCACATCAGACTTCCTGGTATTCTGGCTTTTACAATCTTTCCACTTCTCCTTTGATGTTCCTTGAGCCATAGATTCGGGAGCTGTAATAAATTTTATCATTGGGATTGGGAGCCCCATGATCTGTTGTTCTCTGTATTCTAACCAGTTGTGTTTTCTATGGTTGTCTTTGATTCTTTGATGGGGGAAGTGGTAGCTATACTTATCTGTGGGTATAAGGATAGGATTTAGAACATAGTAAAGAATTATGCTAGATGAGCAAAATGGCAGTAACTTTGCTAAGGTAGTCTGTGATTTCAGTAGCCCTGGAAAGCTGACTAGGTTTCCAGCACCAAGCATTGATTTCCCTCCTATTAAGTTGGCCTTAAGTCCAATTAGATAGTTGCCCATTGCCACCAACATGTGAGTGCCACTTACTGCACCATTACGCTTATCTTGTCATGCTAGTGATTGCCATGGTTCATAGGTACTGTATAGCTGAGTAGCACTGTGTAATTGTTTAGCCCTTACTTGGCAGGTTGCATATTTTTTGGAACCATGTACATCTAGACTTCAGGAAAGTGGCTTTCAAATGAGATATTGTGCTGTTTTTATTACTATAGCTCTGTAGTACAACTTGAAATCTGGAATGGTGATATCTCCAGCAGTTCTTTTATTATTCAGGATTATTATAGCTATTCTGAGTTGTGTTTCCATATGAAGTTGAAGCTGTTTTTTTTTCTTCTAATTCTGTGGGAGGTCTTTCCATCTTCTGATGTCTTTTTCAATTTCTTTTTTCAGTGCCTTGAAGTCTTTATTATACAAGTCTTTACATTGGCTGTTTAGAGTTATTT